TTTATTATGACAATTACTCTGAAAATACATTTATAATCCTTTTCTAAACCACATCTAAATTGTGAGTACTTACGTCTGATTACTTAAAAATATACAAACGGATTCATAAGGCATGATTACTACTAAATCACTACTACTTCAGTGTTTCTGCAATTTATTGATAGATTTAATGAATCTGTTCACTTCATTAATTGCTAAGTTTTGCCGTTCACTTGCGTAAAAAAAGTGCGTGCATGGTTGGGTCTAAGCAGACTTTGCATACCTGTCGAATATACTGAACTATTTCTATGTGTGCGTGAAAACAGTCGTAGGTGTATTCGAGTATACCAGATACACTTATACTTCAGATGCATAATAGGTGAACTAGTTTCAGTTTATAACGCATGCAAAGTTGCTGCGTGATCACGCATCACTGCTGAATTTATTAATGCCATACTGTATATTTTTTCTGAACTTTTTAAAAATTAGCTTAAAACTGATAGTTACTTATTAATGAAAGCTGCTGAAATACTAATCAAAATATTTAACTTGAAGTAATGCTTGATAAATATTTTTTAGAAAATTTTGCATATTTGTAATATACTTACATCCAACTTAAAAAAGTTACGAACATTTTTTTTTCTTTCCAAGTAAAATAATAATAATAATAATAATAATCATAATAAATAATGACAAGTTACAATATTATTTTTATTGTTACTATTATTGCCACCATCACCATGATCATTATCTCAAATATAAAACTAAATAAAATATTTTAATATTAGTTTGAAATAAGCATTTTGCAATGAACTGAATGCTTTTAAACGGTAATTTTTAATTACTCACTTTTTTGTAAAAAATAAGTAGGTTGAATAAAAATATCTCTTGCATTATATAACGTTCAAATATAAAAACAATCTCTAAATTTTACGAAAATTGAAAGTTATCAAAATGGAGTGATCATATGCATGCTTCGATGGTGTTCAGAAGGATGATGCCCATGTAAGGTTCTAATTCTTATGATGGATAATTGTCATTAGCTGTTACATATTTTCGTTTTAAATGCATTAATTTGTGAATTCTGCTAATGAGTTAATGAGTTTTCTGCAAAGTAAAATAGCTGAATTAGCCTGTTATTTTCTATCAAATTCTAATAGACATTCTTAATTAAATTTCCGACGAATTTTATAAAGAATTAAAAACAATAATTTGAAATCATTTTGCCAAAACGTTGTACTTTCTAATTTAGGTAACGAATCAGAAAATTTCCATCAGTTTCCGACAACATTCTTACAATTTTTTTCTCAAATGCTAAAATTTCCCTTACTTCATTATATTTGGAGTAGAAGTTTAACTTTCAAAAGTAGATAATAATTTGTTTTTAAAAATAGACAAAATGGAATTTGTTTTTCTATTCGATAAAATTTTAATAGATTTTTTTGTTTTATATTTGAATAAATAGTAATTTGACGCCAAATACTTATTTTAATTTCTTTCATTTTCATACATTTTAGAGTGTTCACTAGCAAGCGACAATAATATATATCACACATTACTTAATATTTTGATCACAAAAAAAATTTTTGTTTAATCCAAGTATATTCCACTTATATAGTTACGTTTTATTGATTTGACATTCGTAAGAAGACACAAAACCTTCACAACCATTAGATGGAGCAACAAGGTCATTTTTTAAAAATTCTTGCTGCTTCCACTTTTGAATATTTTGGGTTTTTCTGTGTTCCTCAATCCTTGCCCTAAAAGTTGATAATTAATACAGATGATTTGAAGACATAAAAAATAATTAGTAAAGTAATATATAATAGCAAAATAATTTATTTGACTTATCTGAAACTTTAGTCAGTAACTGATTTCACTAAATATTGTGCAAATTTAGTTTTAAGATAATTGAAATAATTAATTCTAAAAAACGAATTAATAATTTCGTAGGCTAACCTGCAGAATATGTTGGTAAGGCATAGAATTTTGCAATGGCATTATAATGAAGCATCAAATTTGTTCGAACAAATGTATTACCTGAAGTACCATCAAAAATTATTCCATAGATTATGTTTATGATTTTAGACGACTTGAAATAAATACTGAAAATATTTTGCTTGACAGTATCCGAAATTGTAGGAAAGAATAAACTAATTGCAAATGAATGAAGAATATTTTTTGATAATAATCATTTACTTAGCTTTTCTTTTCCATTAAAATATTCTACATTAAAGCGACTATCTGTTTTTATGACTGTTTTTACATTAGCACTCAGAATTAACAATGAAGGTGAATTTTTTAGAATTTAAAATTTATTAAATTCGTAGATTCGATGTTACTAAAAGTGAAAGTAATGTTTTCTTACGGAAACAATTCAGTTGCATTTCATCGCATGCTGTTGTCATACTCTTACGTTTATTACAGAAGAAAATTTGGATTCTTTTACAGCAAATTTTTGCAATAAGTCTGAGAACAATAAAAGCAATAAAAGCAGATAATGTACTGAAAAATGCAATAATAATTTTATCAATATCATTGTAGTAATTGTGACAAAAATGCATCTAAAATTACTTTTTGAGTAGAAAAAATTAGTATTTTATTTTTTCAGAAATATTAATTCAAATAATTTAGTATTTATTATCTTTACTATAAATGTATTCAGTCTAAATAGCTGCTTGTCTGCAATGAAATCTTCCCTCGAAAATATAGCTAATTGCTACTTTAATTTTTTTATCCTTAGTTAATCGTATAATTGAATTCTTGTACCTCCTTCTGTAATTAAATTAATCTCTGAAGTCTAGCTTTCATATGTTTACTCTTACTAGTTAGCGCACACAAAATTAGATGACTAACATAACAGCTTAAAAAAGTTAAAATTTTTTAATAATTTATGGCAAATGACTTTAAGATTAAATACGAGAAAAGTTGAAAAATTATTTACAAAAGAATTAAAAAAAATAAGTAAGCATGTTCAGCACAGCAAGCATATCCGCAGCAATATTTATCGTTTGGGCATTTATATACCACAAGTGAATAGCGTTTGCCACATAGATCATAAAGTGATCCAACGAACGGAAATGAAAATTTGCTACTTTTAAGACAGAAAAATTTGCATAAACATTCAAAAAATCATGATGTCATTACAAAATCTCATAATAACTGTGGTAGAAAAATTTAAAAATTCGTAATCCGTGAACTGAAATAATTTTAAATTTTTACTTAATAAATGATTGGAAAAACTTTTTTCATTACTAAATTACATTTATTATTAAATGATAAATATTAAATTAAATGGTTGAAATGTTTGAATATGTTCAGTGAAAAATATTAAAAAAACTTACTTTATTTTTTTGATCTAAAAAACTTTTACAAGTATGATTCCCATGCAAAGTATGAAGATGATGAGCATCAGAACCAAAAAAAAAATACTCGATATCGTTGATCACTACTTGACTTTTTGGTAAAATTTTGATGTGCTCTGATCCATTATGAATTATTTTAATATTCTTATTTAAGTGTTTGAAAAACCATGCTGTTGACATGCTGAAAAACTCAAAACTGCCTTTAATCCCTTTAATTTGTTTTAAAATTATCATATTTTTCCAAATTAAATTTATATTATTAGTCTCATAAATACTTTTAATACATGGTCAATTTAATTTTTCAAATAAACAAAAACTTCAAATCTGAACAAAATGTGCTGAAATAATATTTCTGATCCAATTTTAACATAAGTTAATTTGTAAAATTAACAAATTATTTAACAGAATAGATATAAAATAAAAATAAAAATCCAAAAGTGTGGATTTTGATATTTTTTTTAATTTGAATTAAATTTATGCAGCTTAGTCTTAAATATGCAGAACTGAAATATTTTTAAAGCCAAAAAGAAAATAAAATTAGTCAAGTAATACAATGGTGATTAGTTACCCAGCAACAAACAAAGTTAAGCTGCTTCAAATTAATTAATACAAATGTTTGAGGAATATAAGAATATACAATATTTTGACTAAAACATATAATAAGCAAATTCATCATACTCATTAACTTTTAACTTTGAGAAAATTTTGAAATAATATTATGAAAATGAGTTTACACTGATAATAGTAATAATAATAATAAAATAATGATAATAATAATAATAATATTTGTAATGAATATTTATTATTGATGAGTAATAATAAATATTTAAAATCATATAATTTATAATAATGAGAATGGTGTATAATTTTCAGATAGATTTAATTTTGCAATAATGTTAAAAAATTAAATTTTGGTATTAAACTTGCTTAAATCAAAAAATTTGATTAAGTGATAGTTATGAAAATTTTTTTAGTTCACTGAAAGAGTATAAAAATGTAGCAAAAAATTTAGAATGGAATTAATTGAAAAATAAAATAACTTTGATTAAGGATCAGTGCTAAAGTACCAATAAAAACTGAACAATGCTAAAGTAATGTCGCCATGACAATAATATTCTAAAGATTCAAAGCAGAAAAATGCTATATAATATACACAAAATATAATATATAATGAATTACATTAATCATATTATTTAATAATTTTTCTATATGCAAACAATTTTTCGAAAATTTATTTACTGATATCTCTTAAATTAATTTACTTTTTCTGTGCTATAAAAGTAAATACATTTTTGATAGCAATGCAATGATAAATTTAATTTCAGTGATTATAAATCATAGCCTTATGTAATAAACATATTGAATAGTATTTATTGCAAGTCGTTACAAACAAAATATATTTAATACAAATCAAACAAATTTTAGAATATAGCACACTTTTCATATCACTCTAATATTAATTACAACAAATATGCAAATTTATTAAACTCATTAATTTTCAACTTTAAAAAAATTTGAAATTATATGCATGCAATTTTCAAGCATTTAAAATACAAAGTAAGTATACAACTGTAAAATATATACATTTTTAGAAACTTTTATTCAGTTTTTAAAAAGTTAGTGTTTTCATGCGGTCGTTAAACAGCCTTACGTAAAATGACGGATTCATCGAAGCAGAAACCGAAAAAGGATTTTACAACTAATAAGAATCCTCGCGATATCAAAAAACCATCAGAAGTTGCTCGAACAACTTCCGTAAATAACTTAATTGATATTTAAAATAGTTAAAGCAAATAGCATTACACTAATATCAAAGCATTCTATGAAATTTAGATATGAATAAATTATGATTTAGCTAATTTATTTATGTTACTGGTATTTAACCTATTAGAATTTAAGCTAAAAAACAATGCAAGCTATATGATTTAATTTATTCAAAAAGTATTATAATATTCAGAATGCATCTGAAAAAACACCAAAAAGTACAAAATTTGTGACCTATGAACCCAAAAAAGATCAAGTTCATGAATTCGATGTTGATGTATTGGGAAGTTGGGAACAGTCTTCTGGTACATTGTCGTATAATTCTGCACGCTCGCTCAGCTCAATTTTGAACCATGGCAAAGGCAAAAGTATCAAAATGGTTTGTTATTTATTTTATTTTCAAATTTTTATTCATTCTGTAGTTTTAGTGATTGGGTTAAGTTATTGAAGTTCATCATTTGTATACCAAAAAATGAATCTGAAAAAAGTGAAGCATTTCAGTGATGATTGTGGAAACTGTATAACAAATTTAATTACAAGCATTTAGTTAAATATTGTTGCAAATAATTTGAGGCACAAATTTCTAATTAAACAAAAAACATAATTTTTTAGTGATGACACAAAATATGACACTATTTTATTGCAGTATAATCACTTTTACGCCAAATTTTTGACAAATTTTACAAAATTCATCAATTAGTCTTTTCATATTTTAGTTAGACTTGAATGCGTTACGCCAGGCAAAATTGAATCAGCGCTTAATACGTAATACAATGCCTCCTCAGAAAACTTTGTCAGCAAAAGCACTACGTAATATCAATGAAGCACTGCGTCAAGAACAGATTCAAGGGCATTCAGTCAATCGCATTATTGTGAAAAGTAAACAAGACACGGCTACGGAACGCTATGAATTAATTTCAAAAGTAATTTTCGTATGTAACTTCACTTTTAGCCGGGAAGTGCTCTAATAATAAATGATTTTCGTTGTGATCAAAATAAAGATCATTGTAATAATTTTGATCGCATTAAAATTTACTAAGATTAATGATAAATAACTCGAGTAGTCTTTCTTAATTTTAGCAATATATTCTAATGGTTGCTACTATAATTAATATTTTGCCATTCATGGAGTGGACTCCATGTTAGCTTACCGTAAATGTTAAGACGTTCATAAAATGAGCAATCATAATAAGCGATTCTAACTCGATCACCCTGTTTCATTTCAAATACACATTTTGATTTATTTCATATCATATCATATCTGATGACCTAAAAAAAGATCAAAAACTTCTCAAAATTTGATCGTATACATATTTTACGTCTGTGAAAGCAATTACATTGTATATCAAAATTCTGTTGCATATAATTACATTGTAGATTTGTAATGATGCCATAAGGGAATTTATGACATCCCATAATCGAAATAATAAACTATTAGAAATAATATGCGAATGTGGTGGTGACTTACCTCCTCGTACTACAATTAATGGCATCAGAGCAGCTCCTACGATAAAATTAAATGGCAAAAATGATTGTGATATGGGCCTACAAACACTGGTAAGTTTAACATAATTTTGCCATATAATAAATGAAAACTAAAAAGTTAATCATGGTTACTTGTAAGCACTGTGTTCTCTGAAAACTCCAGACTTTAACATTAACTGCAATAATATTAATATTACAGATATACAAATCAAAACACCCAATGAACCATCTTTCTACGTGTTCTCCAGCGTTGCCATATTCATCAGCTAATACTTTTAGTAGATGCTCTATTGAAAAGTACGTGAAAATATTAAATCAACGTTGGAAGTTTCAAAAGCAGCAATAACCCTTTTAATTTTCAAATCTGTGATTATTTGCGATAAATTTTGTAAAGATTTACTCTGTTGGCACATTTAAATCAAAGTTAGACAACAACACAATTGCTTCAATATATGTTGGCTTTAATATGACAAAAATTATAATGACAGTTTTGCAAAAAAATTTTTTTCACTTAGAAAACTTTTGCCAACATTCAAATTAATTGTCGTTTTGCAATGCTTTTTATCGAAATTTTATGAACAGTAACTGCTGAGAAACTTTAAGCTACAAAGAATTTTTACCCATAGTCATTAATATTGAAGTATTAAATGAATTTCTATCCATGCATTACGGTTTGTGAGTTAATAAAAATACATTGCACTCAAAATTTAAATCCTTCTGGATTAGGAATTTGCATTTTATGCATATTTTAATAAAGTATAAAAGTAAATGGTTTCACCCATAACTTCATTTGTATATATTTTATTTTGCCTGCAGAAATTTTTACTGACTACATTTTACTTATTATAGTGTTATCTCACTACGTAGATATTTACATGTGAGAGGGCGGCTGAAAATTATTGCTATATCTGAGATTCAGTGAGTGCATGGATTAAAGTTTCAATAACAAAGTTTAGAAATGAAAAAATTAAAAAGCTAATGATTTAGCGTTAATTCATTTATTAGAATTATTTATTGTTTACAAAGTTCTAAATTTTCATTACCAAAGTGAAAAATATTAGAAAGCTTCGAAAATACTAATATATTTATTTTATACAAATTTTAATTTAGCCCTTTTGAAATTTGAAGATTAACTTCTTAAAAATAAATATATTTAATATTTTCTAATGCATTTTTACTAGTTAAAGTGATGCGAAAATACTTTCACTATATTTACTAATAATAATTCATTTTTGTTTCAGCAATATTTTTACACAATTTTATTAAAAACTATTATTAGTTCAAATAAATAAAAAAGTTTTTGGTGTAATAAAATAAATTCAGGTATATTTTTTAAAAAATAATATCAATGTCGCGGCGTGCAATTGTTGGAACAGATGTAACCGTCCCAAAAATTATTGCAACCTCGAAAAAATTATCAAAAATAAGCAAAAAATTAACAATTAAGAAAGAACGACCGGTGCCAATGGTTGATCTACCGGCCGATGCACCACCTGTTGATTGTCCGCCCGTTTATGAAGTATTTAGTACTAAACTAAAAACTATCTATTAATTATTAGTATTCAAATATTAAAGTTGAAATATTTTAAAGAAAATTTTGAAACCAAACAATGATGCTCAATTTAACAGCTAAAATGAAACTTTAAATGCTTAGATGCAAGCAGGTGAATTTTTATTAATATATATTAATAATATAATTGATGCATTTTTTGTCTTATTAATAGCAAAAGTAAGAATGATATTATTTGCATAAAAATAATGCTAAAACAATTTGACTTAAGCATATTTCAGTGTTACGTATTGATGAAACCTCATAAAAAACATCGAATTAGTATTACAAAACGTTACATTGGCAAAGTTGCACGTGGGGTGATGCGATTGACCCCAGAAAAAAGTGTAAAAACAAATAATGATGCCATCGGTTCTGAATATACAGTCGATCTTACTGCTGTTTGTTTGCTTACACAATTATTTGTATTTGCTACCTTTTTTATACAGTTGTTATATTAATAATAATTCATTAAACTTATATCAATTTTCTTTTAATTTGCTTGCTTCATTAAGATGATTTAATTTATATTGTAATTTGAAATTTAGATAGCAATTTCATGTGATGATGCAAAACGACGATTAATTTTTAAATTTAAAAAGGAGTCTCGAGATATAGGACCTGTAAATAAAGATGAGTATGAGATTTTTAAAGAAATGATTCAGAAACATCGCAATTATCGTCAAAGTGCTTATCGAAACAAGTTCATTTTTTAATTATCTAAAACCAAAAATGAAAGTTTAATAATGATTGTTGTTATAATTATCAGTGAATGGTTATGCGTTTGAATTTGTTATTTTTTAATACTTATCAGTGAATGGTCACAGTAATCAATGATAACATTCGTTTCTAAAAATATTCATAATTTTTGAATTCCTAACAAAGCAGTAAAATTAGTTGCTTAAATCCATAACATTTTATGCATAAACTGTAGTGTGGATAAACAAATTTGCATAATTTACGAATTTTCTATATTTCAAAAAAATTAATCAATCTAAATATTATTTGTTAAGAAAAGAGGATGTTGGTGAATTAGTCAATGCAAAAGCAGATTATGGAAATGATTCAAATCCAGCAACTGCAGTGTAATCTTAAAATTTTAAATTTATTTTTTGTTTTAATGAATTTAATGAGAACAACTGTGTACATTTGCTGAGATACTTTAATTTATTTTTTTCGCTGTCTTTTTTTTCGAAAAAATAAGAGGCATAATTTTGAAAAATTAAAATTTTTCAAAAAATTCTAGGGACCAAATTTTAAAAACAAAGTGTTTTAGTTAAAATTAAGATTAGACTTGCTAATATTTAATGAAAAAACAAACTCATCCAATTTTCGATTTACAAATATAACTTTAAGAATGCAAAAAAGAAGTGTATTTTTAAGAAAGGTAAATGAACAAGAAGTAGATCAGACTAAAGTTCGTGAAGATTGCCGTTTACATTCCAATTTTGATCTAAACGAAAAAGTGCTAAAAATTTCAAATGACATCAAAGCAATTGCAGTTGAAGTAAAGCAAATACATAAAGAATTAAAGGTTAGACATTGCTTATTTTTTAGATTTATTTTGGGACAAAGTCATCACATTAAGTAACAAATGAAACTAAACTAGTTTGGACTAATCAATCTCATTTGTTACTTAACTTAAAAAGTTATTAAAAAAATCTGCAATTATTATCAGTTATTATATTAATAGTAAATAAGGACACCATCTCTAATATTAATTACAATATAACTGAAAAGTTTATTTTTCACTGTGACTAGTTATTTCTTAAAATTAAACATAAACAAATTCAAGTCATTTTAAACAGAGCAAATTTTTTACAATTGTTATGATATTAATTTACTCATATTTATATCTTTCTTTCAGGATATGATTAGATTTATTCAAAGTGGAAGACTAACATTTTCAGCAGAATTTAAAGAACGTAAGTTCATAATTACTCTAAGAATTATTTTAGAGACATTTATTTTGTTTTGTAAATTATTTCGAAGTAAAAGTAGGGCAATAAATTGCATTAAAAAGCTGTTTAGTTTTAGCTCAAAAATTGTCCGAAGAAGAAGATTCAGTCTCGGATGATTCTGAAGAAAAATTAGAATTAGCTGCTGCTTACAGCAGCCAACCATACGTTTTCGAAGCTACTCCAAGGTGAGATAGGATTCTGAACTACTTTTAGCCTTAAAATTTTCTTCAAGCAAAAAATTTATTGCATACTATTTTTAAACTTTATTAAGCAATAATTTGATTAGTTGTACAATATTTTCCTGACTTTTTACAATATGGCTCTTTTTGCGTATAATTTATTATCGAAAATTTAACTATGTTATCCGAAGATTTATTTTATTAAATAACATTCAATTTACTTTTATTACTAATAGTTTTAATTTTGTAGAGAACAGTTTGTTAAAGAAAAACTACTTGAAGACAAAAGAGGTTATTTTAGTTTGTTTACAGTTATGCAAGCCAATTAATAAGTATCAATTAAAAATAAACTGAATGATATTCGCTTGAGGATATTATTTTCTGGTACTGATTGTATAGATGTTCTGCGATTTTTTCCTGCTATGTAGCAAAATAATTTATGCTTAAAAAGAAGTAATAAAATCATAGTTTTATTTAATTTTCAACTAGTCATTATAATAATTGCTTAAAGACTAGTAATACATTTGGTGGTTACAGACTGAACTGAAAAGTTCTTTTCAGAAATTCAAGACTAACTGAGGATTTAAGAATTGTTTGAGATCAATGCACGAAAAACTCATTAACACTTAAATTTAAATGTAAACAATTTTTGGATCCACATTTTACATGAAAATTCTGCCATTATTACTAAAACCTATATTTCAGCTTGCAAACCAAAAGAAAAAAAAACTTTGTAAGTCATTGATTTCATTTTTATATTTCGTGAATTTTTATATTATAGTAAAATTCAGTGAAAAAATTAAATTGAAAATATGTAAAAATATTTGATTTACTTTCAGAGCTAAAGTCAAAACACTGCAAAGCGAAGATTTAGCTGAAAAAAAAGTAAAAAATTTTTTGTCTTTTAATACAAAGTACTAAATTTAAAACTTTAATTAACTTAATGGTTTAAATCAGTTATGAACAGTTTCAATTCATTTTACATGGACACACATTTACAATTAATTTAATAGTTTTAAATTTAATCATGAACAATTTTAATTTATTTCACAGGAATACACAATTATTATGATGTAATTGACACGAAGCAGGTAATTTTACAACCAATTTGGTGATCTTTATGTAATTAATCATTTGTAGGATGAGAAAGTGGAGCGTTTTCTTGAAGCAATAGAAGCAGAGAAGGTTGCACCGCGGAAACGCAGGGATCATTTACCAAAGCCATCATTACCAACCGAAGAACTTGGTTTCAGACAACTAATGGCAATTGTTGCTCGACGCGCACCTATTCCGATAGCATTTTTTGAGCCATTGACTATGTTGCAAGTAATATCGTACAACTTTAAGACTCTCCACTGTTTTCAATAAACAAATTTGTAATAGAATATGATTCGAAATTTGAATGAGAGCTTCAAAGAGTAAAGCTATGCATTAACTTTACAGATTAATTATTCAAAAGCTGACTGAAAAGGTGCCAAAATTGTTTTTCAATAGGATGAATCGTAGATTATACGAAGAAGAAGTGCTGAAATTCGATTTCCTCCTCTATCATTATTTTACATTAAGTTCAAACACTGTTTGACAATGAATATTCTGATCCTTCAACGTTTTAGGTAATATGTGAAGAGTTACGCTATTCAGGACAAACTTTGAATAAGGCGCTATCAGCAATTGATCCTGTTGATCGTATCGCTTACGTGACAGCTTTTGCCGTAAGTGGTTACGCAGGAATGGTTTGTCGGAAGCAAAAACCGTTTAATCCGCTGCTAGGTGAAACATTTGACTACATTTCAAGTGAAGGATGGAAATATCATGCTGAGCAGGTCATTATTTCATTTCTTTCTTCAATATTCAGTTTTTATGAAATTTCAGACTAATGTTGCGCCCAAAAAGCCGAAGCTCTAAAATTACTATCACGTTATTTTACTTTTTATTTAGTATAAATATTGTAGGTAAGTCATCATCCAGCAATATCAGCGGCTCATGCTGAAGGATTAAATTGGGCTTGGTGGCAAACTTTAATATCTACACCAAAAACTTCTTGGTCTGGAACCATTGAAGCAACACCTGAATTACCTGTACGAGTTCGGTTAGGCAATGAGGATTATTGCTGGAATAGAGTAAGAATTTAAATATAATACATGTTTAAATACTTTGATGTAATCCAAACCGGAGGAGGTATGAAAATCTAGTAAAGCTATAAAAGAAAAAATGAATGAATAATTTATTAGAATTTAATTTGCTTACTGAAAACAGACTCAATTGTTTGTTTATACTTATGATAATTTTCATGCGTTGCGTTTGAAAATATATTTAAACATTCACGTCTAATGGGATCTTACAGGTAAAAGTAATCATAGAAAATGCTTCTTCAACAGCTGAATCCCGAAGATTACGAATGGATGGTACAATGAATCTACGATGCAGTAATGGCTATACAAGTACAATAGTTTTTCGGAAAGATCGGCAAACTGAAATTTCAGGCAGTATCATAGATAGCCGTGGTACACAAGTCGTGAAGCTTATCGGACAGTACGATAGATTCTTACAAAAGTTAGTTTACTTTATGGGATATGAATGACTACAAAATCTTTGCTAAATACAAACTTCATTTAAATACTATCAATGTATTTAATTTAGAGCGAATGAGAAAGACTATCTATTTGAAGCGATTCCATTACCGAAAAATGCTAGCCAATTCTATGGATTTTCACAATTTGCATGTGGATTAAACGATTTTATAAATGATGAAAAAGCAAGTGTACCGCCAACCGACAGTCGACTGAGGCCTGATCTAAAAGCATTGGAAAGCGCTGATTTAAGTCGAGCTGTGGAAGCTAAGAATAATCTTGAAAAAGTAAATGCAAAAATGTCCGTCTGTTATGACTAGCACATCAAACTACAATTAGTAGTCTGATATTTTTTTCACGTGATAGTACTAAATTTTACCTAAAGCTTGAAATTCCTACAATAGCAACTTGTGTAAGCCATGAGTACATGCTTATATAATTAGATATCAACACTGAAGTAAACGTAAAATTTGAGGCACAAAGGACACGTGATGAAGCTAATCATAAACGTATGTGGTTTGAGCAACGTCAAGATATTATGGCGAATGCTGTGTTATGGGTATGCAATGGACGTTACTGGCAAGCTAAAGAAAAAAAGTTCAAGGGTTACCCAGATATTCTCCAGTTGTTTTGGTTCGTTCAACAGAGTTCAAATCAAATCAATCTTCTATTTACCATTCACATACCACTACCTCTTTCCGGGAATTAAAACTTGTCACGTAAAATTACTACACATACTTTGATTAGATTATTAGTTTTAGCATGCCCCTTCATTTCTAAATTTAGTACTAGAAAAAAATCATGTGTGTATATTGTATAACAATTAGTTTATTAGAACGTTAGCTATGACAGTCTTGAAAAACGTACTGTATAAAAAACTATAAGGCCAAATAACTTCCAGCAAAGATCCGCTCAACGCAAAGTAACCAACGCCACGTAAGAATTAAAGTAAGCTGTGTTAAAATTATAATCCATTAACTGCGAAGCTTGAGAAATGGGTTTTACAGTTTGGAATTGCTTAATCGATGTCAAAGACAATTGTAATATTTGATTATATCATAGAAATTGGCCTTCACTATGTTTCAGAGTTAGCAACAGAATACAATAAAGTAAAAGAGAATAAAGCATTCTTTTTTTTATTATTTATAAATTGTGTATGCTAATTAAACCCAATTCTCTAATTACAGTAGACAGAGTACAGTCAAGTCAAGCACTTCAACTCCTTTCTTTCCAAAAACAACAAATATCAACAAAAATAACAAAAATAGGCTAAGCACAAGCAAATTACAACAGACAATCTCATAAATTTTTCAGACCAGAACACATCATGTGCTGCTTTTACCGTAGACATGCAAAAATATTTCGGAGAATTTAAGAAGCGATATCTGTAATTGGAAATACTGGCAAAACCGCGACCATCTCTTTAAAAATGCGGACAAACACTGCAAAATAAGGATGAACCAACAAATTTTACGTACAGTAACTCTAAATACAAATCTTGTAGCAAATGAAGATTTAATTTCCTGAGTTTAACTAAATTTCCTTTTTCCATTCTAAGTTTAATCAAAATGTCGTAGCAAAAATTTGAAGAATGAAAAATTTATCGAAAGAGCTAGCACATTCAAATAAAAAATAGCACACTTTAAAATGATAGTTAGTGCACAACTACAAAATAAAATATACAACACATAGCTATGTCTAGAAAACCAAATTTTCAAAATTATGTTCAGAGATACAAAGCAAATAGTAATATATGATTAAATGGAATAAGTGAACCTGAGAACAAATGCAATAAATTTATAGCTTAAACTTATGACTAAGAAAAGATCTTCCTCTAATGACCCACAGAGAATTTTTTATGGATCTAAAATGCACAAAAATTATTGAACTTTCTCTTTCCGAAGCTCTCTCAAAATAAATCAAATATAAACAATTATATTTCAGACCATAATGGTACAAGGAACTCATTAAATAAGAAGCTATCATTTAGTAACATTCCATAGCTTATCTAGCAAAAAAGCTGAACGGCTGGAAATATTTTCAAGCAACATTTAGAAATACTACAAAACTGCTCAAATCAATATGTGTGAGAATGCAATAACAACGAATAGCAAAATTCACTCAAACTTACAACCCGTTCAATGTTATACTCGAGCACATGAAAAATGAATGCAAAGTACACAAACAATAAGAGCTCATGCTAAAAATTAGTCATCTTCAAAAACACTCATTTCAATAAAAGAAATAGGAGTAATAATTAATATGCAGATCTGTTAACTGAAACACAAGTGACACATGAAATGCTTAAGAGGTTTTGGGATTAAACATTTACAATTCCAAATTTGAAAATTGTAAACTAATGCTGTTATGTGATGAACCACCAACACTACGATGCGAATTCTCACTGCATGCATCATCACTGCCTTCCTGCAGATATAATTGAGTAAATTCATCAATATTCCCTTCTACCATAGATAGGTTGAAGCTTTAGTAATATATGAATAAATCGGCAAGCTAAAGAAAAAAGTTCAAAGGTTATCCAGATGTTCTCCAGCTGTTTTGGTTCGTCAACAGAGTTCAAATCAAATCATGCTTCAAAAGTCTCAACATTTTAAAACTTAACATAAGATCTCAGTAAAAAGTTCAGAAAACGAAAATATTCTTTATAATCTACGAAGCACTCAAAAATAACTAGCAAAAGAAAAAAGAAACGAACCAATAGCTAGTAAAAGATTTGCTCAATATGAGCAGACCCTTAATTTTTTAATTTATCCGAAAAAAAATTATATCAGAAATACTGTAAATTTACATGAGATTCGTCTTTATCAGACACCACATCCATCATTGCTTCTTGAAGTTTCTTTTCTAGTAGCCTTTGTTTCTCAATATCTTTAGCATCTAAATCACTAGACCAACTTCCTGAAATTAGTTTTTTTAAAGAACAAATCCTCTTACAAACAATACTCCAAGAGATAAAACATAAGAAACAATCCATATGATAAACAATATCTGTACAAAAAATCTTTTTCTGATACTCTAAACAAATTTCTAAAAAAGAATGCATTTACCTTCAACAATTTCAGTAGGTTCCCCAGCACTAAAACTTCCAAATGATCCTGCAGCTTCAACTGTTACAGGAAGTGATTTTGTTTTCCCGGCACGATATCTTTCATAATCACGATCTGATCCAGGAGTAACCTGAAAAATATTTATTCCAAGGACTGAAATAAAAATAGAAAATTTCAACTCCACATATTTTTTTCAATTCACTGAAATAGTTCACCAATTCAGCACTAGTGTGTTGTGAAGGCTGAATATATGTCCTAAATGAGAACTGAGGTCCCATCCATAGACGTCGATGAGGTGCTAAATAAGTCAACACTTCAATCTGCAATGTTAATATATTTCGGGAGTTTCGAATGAAATTACAAAAAGAATATAATGCACTATAAATAAATTCTTTTTACGACAAGAAAGGTCTCAAAATAAAGACTCTTGTAATTCATATGTTGTTTGTGCTTAAATTGATTATTTGGGAAAACTAATGGACAAATCATTAATCTTTTTTCCCTTCCAACATAAATGTAAAATTTTCAAAATAAAATACTTAAAAACATGTAAAAATTATTCTATCTAGTTTACCATCGTTAACATTATTTTTTGTTAACCTCCGTTTCTGCATTACTGTGCTCAAGAATATGCGAACGACCGTATCTTAAATTTTTTCTATATCATTCTCTAATGTAACAATGCATCCCAATATGAAACACAAAATTAAGTCCTTTACCTGACTTATCCATTTATCGTCAACTTCCTCTTTCTGGACTTCATTCACAGTTTCAGGTACAAGCCATGTCCATAAAGGATTATGCGCACAAATGGGTGTACGAACGTCCGATAATGACTTGTTCCTAAAGTTTAGAGAAAAATACTGCTAAACTAAATTTAATGTTTCATTAGGATAAAAAAGCAAAACATCCAAATACCTTTGCAATATCCACTGCACCGCAGTCGTTAGTGTACACTGGATTAGCGTTTCATCAGGATAAATCTTTGAGGGCGCTGTAGTGGCTGAAAACATCCCACTTGTCCCACTATAAGGAACTGGTGAGACCGATAATAGATATTCCGTTAATACACCGTCATTGTTCACGACGAGCAAAGAAATACTATTCGAATTAAATATTGAATTTGATGAAAATGAAATCTGCAACAATTTAACAAAACGTATTGTTTTTTAAGTTTATAAACTAGAAAAAATCGAACTGAAAAAATTAACCCTACCGCCAAACGATGATTATGACCAGGCTTGCTGACATATTTGGGACTAGTTCCAGCAGTCAAAGAAGATGGAGTCATGTCAGAAGCCCATGCACTCAAGTTGTCAGCCGAATAGAAACGTTGCTGAATCAAAATAAATTTGATTGAAAATTCATAGCAACACATAAGCTACCAGAAACAGCAAATATTGATAATCATACGAAACAAATCTGTTAATAATAATCTTTAAAATTAAGGTCCAAACAATGTCTGTCAAGTCAGAGAGGAACACAAACCTTGATCCTCACATATGCTTCCATACCTATTGGACTTGGATAAGGACCAATTCGTGGATTTTCTACTGAACGGGCAATGTTGACTCGAGAGATATAAGGATGTCCTCTGCATAAATGTAATTAAAAATATACTTTATAAAAGTCATAAATTATATAGCTGAATGCAAAAAAAAGAAATATTATTTGAAAAGATCACAGCAAAGATACCTGAAAAGTTGGGCAGTTGTATACTGCTGAGCTTCCTTTTTTGTTTCACTAGGAATTTGTATAGGAACATAATCTGAATCAGGCAAACCTGCAGAGCGACGGTACCTAAAAATAAGCCTCCAAGAACACAAATAACATTGCCATTACAACAAAATAACCACTATATGACCTTTGAAAATTTTGGTTGACAAAAAATCTTGATTTTTCTTCACTAAAACTATCGAGAACTTAGTTTCAGACAGAAAATCAAAATACGTACGTTACACATCCTTACATGCTAATATTTACTACAATAGACTGTGAAAACAAAAATACAAAGCAACTTTTGTGTGGTAAAAAAATAACTCAAAAAAGAGAGCATAAACAAAAACCTAGACTCCTTGTTAACAATCTCATCACCATGAGTACGTAAAGTTACTTTACCGCCATATGGACATATGCCAAATATATGTGTAGTTCCATGATTTGTAGCCAGTGCCAGCCAACGATTATCAGCAGAGAAACTACAGTCAACTACCTAAACATACTAATATTCATTCTACATTGAACTTAAAAGACTACAAAAACCGTTTTTGCAGTACACGATGGAATAGATTTTCTTAGTATTTTCCACCTATTTTTGTATGTAGTAACATACAAAACTGATATATCAAACAAAACTGGTTTTCCCAAAGGAAGAAATTTTGTTTTCATGAAAACAAAAATTTTGAGCACTATTAAAAGAAACAATTGTTTACTTAAAACAAGTGACACAAATTACTAACCGCCAGTGCAAGCAAAATTATTTAAAAAAACTCTAATTAATATGAGAGTACAGGCTCTAAAAATACTATGGTTCTCACTGATAGTTTCATTTCAATTACATAAATGTGAGCACAATTGAAATGAAGACATTGAAAGAGACTATATAAAAAACGCAAACTTTAGCAGGAGTAGTGCCACGATATAATGTATAAAGATGACGGACAGCACCAAGCAACGGAGATCCAGGGTGAGGATAAATATGAAATAGGTGAAAATAAGTTGAAGATTGTCCTGTAAATAATATAACATGAACCATTTCGGATAAATAATATAATGAAGAATTTGGAAGTAAAAATGATACGTAATTAACAAAGACGAGGATTGCCTGAAGTTAAAACAAGTTGTCCACCATTTCCGAAAGCTATGAAACCGACTGGTTCTGTATGAGCAACAAAATGTGCTATAACTGCATCTGCATATTTTGAATCCTGAAAGAAATATCCTGACAACTTTAAAAAAAGTTTTCACTAATATATATTTAAACTGAGTTGTAAATATAAAAATCTTCATGAATTTTAGAATGGACATCGATGCATTTTCCTAAAAAAACTTACATCTGTACTACTATCTGCAGGAATTTTATTTACATCCACCACTGTTATGACGCCTGGTTGGGCCACTGAACTCAGGAGTTCTTTTGATTGTTGAGATGATGAAAATGGAAAGATTGAATTGCTAAATGATGTCAATGTCTTGGTGAAATTCTGAAAATTGGTGGTGTAAAAGTTAAGGGAAAAACCGACATTAATAAAAATCATTTCGGAACGTAATGATCTCGATATAATATCAATAATATAAAAGTCATTTTCTTATGTATGCTGACATCTGTCTCATGTTTCATGAAAACAAAAGTTCATAAAATATCAAACTAAATCTTGATTAGCTTAATGCAGTTTCTGATTAACTCACCCTTGCCACACTTACTATACTATAACTGGACGAGTCTTGGAATAAATCTTCACTTTCCATTCCACCACAACTCTGATATTCTTGACACAACTGAAGGTAAATAAAGAACTTTAAAAAATTTTGGATATGAACCTAATTTCACAGGAGTATTCATAACATGACACTTTTTAGAACTGGAATTTCTTCCACAAAGCATTATAAGCATAACTGTTTATAATCATTCAAGACTCTCACACTATAAGATAAACAAGCAAAGAAAGTCTTAAAAAGTTGTTGCGTAGAAAACGATGGATGTAAGTTGAAACATTGAAATCCTGAAAAACAAACTTTGGAATTGGCAAATGCTAAGAAAGTATCCGAAATAGCAAATGGAGTGCCAAAGCCATCATTTATTTGAGTGTTGTTAATTTTGCGTTGTTGCCGTAATGTCATCATATCACAAATCACTATATGATGAACAAATGACACAACAAATATCCTAGAAGTAATTATAACATTCAAATATGTTATAGATAAATTAGTATAATGCAGAAAAAGTACTTTAGACACACAAAAAAAGGTCTAAGAGATGAAAACGTAATTGAACTTATACGTAACAAGTATCTACAAACATACAAATAAACTGCTATTGATAAAAGTACTCACTAATGTTGTTGGTTTTTATAATGGAAAAACTTGTAGCTAAACACAATAAAAAAAACTAATGATCAAGTTAGTTTGAAAAAAGTTATTTTAATGTCAGAAAATCACTTGGTAGAAGTTGCAAGATCTTGTACTGAATCAGTGAAATACAATTTATGCACAATCTGAGCTTTTATAAGAGACAGAAATGATACTGTGGTATATTTTTTGCCCGAAACATGTCGGCTTTCATCAACTACAGCAAATAAAGGACGACTACTTTTGTACCTGGAATTTTGGTTCCTTCTTCATTATAACATCGAAATACTTTACCTCGAAAAAATGAAAGTTATATATACATATAAAACATTTATATTTGTATAAATGTACTAAAACAAAAAAATACACAAGCTAACCGATCATTATGAATGCCAAAACTTGGCTCACATTTCGCTGGTAGTAAAAGACCTAACTGAATTGGACCCTTCCGTTCAGATAATATTTCTTTACAGTCACCATTTTCCTGAAAAAAACTTTATGCGCACAAAATTATTCCATTTTAACTTTTGTATTGCATAATTTTTCTATTCCATGGAAGGAAATAGCAAAAATGTAATGCTTTACAAATAATCTATCACTACACTCATTCTTTAAAAAAACTAAAAAAGATGCATAAAAATCAGAAATACATGTTTTGAATTGACAACCAGTAATTGAATAAATTTAATATGAAGTGAAAATTATTAATATGAAAAGAATATGACAAACCATGCGAGCCCAAATTTGATACCCCCTCGCGAGACCAATAATCACTAAGTCAACCACACGTTTTTGATCATTTACTAAAAACTTACATGTAAAAAAAACGTTTTTAACAAAATTATTTTTTTTAAGCGTAATAATATATATAAAAAATATGAAATGTCTTCTTAAAACTAACCATTATTACATTTTTGCATTTTGACCCAATTAATCCGTTCTGGAGCCAATTTAGGACTGGTTGTTTGTGGAATAATATCATGCACGAATTCAGTCATCGAACTCATTAATGAGCCTTCCCTATAAAAAACATATTACAGAATACACTTGTAACAGAAACAGTAATTTCTAAAATTTATATACAATGTATACAACATAAGAGGTATACTTTCGAATGACTTTAACAACAGATGACAATTACCAGTTATATATTTAATAAGCTTGAATTCATCAGAGCTGTAACTTATTTTACGAATACTAAAATGTGAATTTCTTTTCTAATACTAGTGTTGCACAACTATTTCTAATTTCACTATCTGATCAGCATTTTTAATTATATGACATTTTAATGGAGCTAACATCATTTTTAAGCAACATGCTAACTCAGTGCTTGCTGATTAAGAGATATTCAATTCTACTAACTTTCAAAAAAGAATTTCTAATGCTAACGGTACGCTTTGAGGCTTAATGGATTGTCCAGTTTTCCGACATTGAAAAGTTTTCTTCCAAGAGCTACTGAATGATACTGGATGGCTATCATATGATACTGGAGATAGGGCAGGATTAGAAATAACATTAGATTTTATTGACTTAGTCTTTTTTTGTTCCCGCTGATTTTGGCGAGTGATTGCAGATTGTTCAATAGGAGCATCATCAGATCGCTGTGATCGCAGAACTTGTACTTTTTCAGGACGAATTTCTTGAGGCTGTTCACGACGGATTTCCTGATCCTCTTTTAAAATGGATTCATGAGTCTGCTCCACGTTGGTTTCTGAAGATTGTTCAGAACAGGTTTCTTGAGTTTGTTTAAAACAGGTTTCTCCGGTTTGTTTAGGGCGAGTTTGCTGCAGTTCTTCAGGACACAGTTGTTGGAATTGTACAGAAGGGCCAGGCTCCAACTGAAGCAAAAATGTATTCAAGAAATGTATGCAGTCTCCAGTAAGAGAACAAAATTAATTATAGAATTAAAAAAAAGAATGCATAATAATACTGTCAAATTATTAGTGCATACTTTTTGTTACAAGTAATCTTCTTCCTTACATTCCATTCTATAACTTGAAATGATTTTTCCGAATGAAAATTATGAACCGAAGCATTTTTACTTTCGAAAAAGAACTATTTTAAAGATAATCGAGAGTTCACAGAAATATTGTACTACAGTGTTAGAAAAATAAAACGAACCTGTCGTTCTTTATGTTTTCGCTGCCTTCGAGATGCACGTGGTGGAGGTGATGACATTGACAACTGAAATGATTATCTTAACAGTTAAAGTGAGTAAAATCGGGTTTCAAAAATAATTTTTCCAGAATGACGATAGAGTAATACAAGTACTAATAAGCTGAATGAATCCTTGTGTTATAACTATAATTATCTCTAACAAAAAACAAAATTGTCTAATATTCAGGTTAGTCAGCAACAATGTCTCACATGTTTTCAATAACAAAATGTAGCAATATTACCTCTGCTTGTTGAAGCAACAGGCCCTTTATTAGCACTAGAAAAATGAACCGACATTTCAAATTCAGATTTGAATCATATCAATGTAAATCTTTGCTAACTATGAACTACAGCTTTCAATTATTGTTATTATAAGTAACAATTCTACGACTAATATAAAGTTCAATTGTAAGTTCAGAACCCGAATTCACATGCAAACCAAGACAACATTAGAAGAAATGAATACAGCAGTGAACTAGTAATAAAGAACTCGCTTGTTAATAAATTAACTTGATCTTACACTATTGAGAAATTTAAAAGACATTCAAGTTGATCAAAGTGTAATTTAGTAGGACAGGTAAATACTGTCATGATCAAGCTTCACAAATATGAAGAAACAAATCATTGCCATATGTGATCTTACGGAAATGCAACGCATGTCCCTTTTCATAACAAGCCGTACTAGTACTATGAAATCATCAGAAGTAATATCGGAAGAAACATGGTCAACCTAATTGTGAATCTTGGAACATGCGATGAATCAGTGAGTCCTAAATAGATAATGAACTGAGATGAACTCGTAACATATGGACTTTAAGCTCAGTTGAATTCAAACCACGTGAGTCTCAATTACATGAATCCGATTTGGATGAACTTCACCCAAACAAATAAACCTGAACCGGATGAACTCGAATCAACAATCAGATGAGAATCAACCGAATGTTCGTTCAAAACATAGCTTGGCTTGATGCCAAAATATCGATTTTTAGCGCTTAGTGCAATTTGCAGTAGTTCCTGCGGTTGCGTCTGGCGCATGCGCTAATTTAATGCTGTGCTAAGGTAGAGCGGGGGAGAAAATCCGAGACATCCCAATGGTTTCCAGTAATAGCAGTTTCAAATTTGCTGCTGCTAAGAATAGACATTATGAGAGATGTTATGTGCGAGAAAATTTGTTCAAAGAAACAAAAAAATAAAGTCAATTGTTGAATTTTTTTACTGCTTTGATATTTCTGATAATATTTGTGGATTGTGGGTTTATATTAGCTCAGCTAACAAAATGTACTGTGTCAAAATGTTAAGTCAAATGGCTGAATCAATTTGTTGATATTGAATTACTCTCCAAATAGTTTCTGTCAATTATGTTTTCGAGTTTCTCTCTTTTTGATGAGTAAACTTATTAAGTGTTTTTAAATTTTGACTCTATTCGAAATGACATAGCTGTTTGGTGCTTACTTTGTTAAGAGCTAACACTAATGGTTGCAAATATCCAATTTTCTTTATTTCAGGAGTTTCATTTGTTGAATTTATTGCTTACGATATTATTGTGATTTGGAAGCTGCTGGTGTTGCGTGACAGTTGAAGCAGCTGTCTGAAGTGAGCCAAAAAGGTTAATTTTCATGCTTTTCATACTTAAAAGTTTAGACTTTTTTAATATGGAGCTTCCATGTTTTAAGGTCCACTTGTATAAAAGTGCTAAAAATATATAAAGTAATGCTTTGGTAATAAGCTCATTACTTGGATGTTTGAGAAAAGAGTGCTGGTTAATAGTTGATAAAGGTGTCACAGAAGTATTAATTTGGCTTTTTTGTCAGTGCTGAGTTTCTAAGTCGTTAATTACTGAAATATATTGCATCATTTTTGAATACCCCTACTGTGGCTACGATAAAAATTTAGCAATAAAGTGACTTTTATTTTCTCCAGATTTAGAATTGCTGATTAAGACTATAGAAGTATTAGAATTTTTTGAATTTCAAGTTTTCATTATTTTATCACACTTTGATAATTAGCACCAACACAAGTATGCAGCTATGTATGAACATGTTTCAGTCTCACTTCATTGTGTTCATCATTAAGCAGCGTCCCTTGTTACTTTATCACTATGGCTGTGGAAGCAGAAAAGCTGAATTTGGATAATATTATTGCTAGGCTTTTAGAAGGTTGGATATTTAAGCGTTGCTTACCAAAATTTTTGTATGTTGTTTCTAATTTATTTTTGTCGACATTGCTGCCCGAGAACAATGTTCTGTCAAATGCTTATTGATTCCACATCCAAAGAATTTTTTATATTGTCAAAAGTCGCGAAATTTTTTTCCAATATCTCAAAAGTATTTTTCATTTGCTTTTTTTTGTTTTGAAAAAACTTGCAACAGTTGAAATAATTAGAAGTGATTTTTTCCCAAAAAGTATGTAAAATGGTTTTTCTATTTCTTACTACACTGTATAGATTAGTATCTCTTTCATTAATTTAGTTTCTGTCAAAAGGCAACTTATTGTTTCTAATCTAATTTCTGTAAAATTTCTTGCAAAAGATAATGCAGTCAGCCAGTTTTTCATTTATTTTATTTTTATGAATTTTTGAAAGCTAAATGTATTTCCAGTACGGGGTTCAAAGCCTGGCAAAAATGTGCAATTGACAGAAAATGAAATCAAAGGATTGTGTATTAAATCTCGAGAAATATTTCTCAGTCAACCGATTTTACTGGAGTTAGAAGCACCACTAAAGATTTGTGGTAAACTTTTAACTGTTTAAGTTTTGGTCCCTGAAATTTTCCAGAAGTTTTAAAATATTTGTAAATTATTATAGGTGACGTTCATGGTCAGTATTATGATTTACTGCGACTTTTTGAGTATGGTGGTTTTCCTCCTGAATCGAATTATCTATTTCTTGGAGATTATGTAGATAGAGGTAATCATACTTTCATTTTGCTTAAAACTTTTAGCTATTGTAAAACAGCTAATAATAGTTGTATCGAGTTAATTTGTGATTAATTTTGTTAAATTAATTGTTAGATTATATCAAGATGTTAGATTTAAGTTTTGAAGCTTAAAAGCTGTGACAAGTTTGTATTCGTACTTCAGTTAAAATTGTTAGCTCACTAAATTTGATTAAACATCTGAGTTTCTTCTGCAACGCATCGGCGTCGCATTTGTAATTTTAGATTGTTTATTAAAAAGTACAGAATATGCTGCCAACTTCATTCTGCTACATGCCATCAGGCGATATTCGTCTCTCGAGCCCTAAACTTTGTATGATGAAACGCTGCTTATTTATTTCATGTGTTTAATTTTTTTTTCGTTTTTCAGGTAAGCAGTCTCTAGAAACAATTTGCTTACTTTTGGCATATAAAATAAAATATCCTGAAAATTTTTTTCTCTTAAGAGGAAATCATGAGTGCGCATCTATTAACAGGATATATGGTTTCTATGATGAATGTGAGTGAATTTCATATGACTCTGTAGCAACCGTTTAGATTTCAATTCAAAAACATTTTACTTTTTGATTTTATTGTCATGATTTCGTGTCTTATATAATTGTATTTGAAACAGGATCGTGAATATTTAAGGCAAAAGACGGTACAATATTAAATTGTGGAAAACTTTCACTGACTGCTTCAACTGTTTGCCGGTAGCAGCAATTATCGATGAAAAGATTTTTTGTTGTCATGGAGGTTTATCACCTGATCTCCAATCTATGGAGCAAATACGACGTATTATGCGTCCAACGGATGTGCCAGATCAAGGTTTACTTTGCGATCTTCTGTGGTCCGATCCAGACAAAGATGTTACAGGTTAGTTTACTGTTATTATTTATTCAGGTATGAGCCAGATGTATGTTATTCCAACATATCGTGGGTCTGTGTATTTAAAAAATAACACTTGCAGGCTGGGGCGAAAATGATCGAGGTGTTTCATTTACGTTCGGTCCTGAAGTGGTAGCAAAGTTTTTGCATAAACATGATCTGGATCTCATCTGCCGTGCTCACCAAGTTGTCGAAGATGGTTATGAATTTTTCGCAAAAAGACAGTTGGTCACATTGTTCTCTGCTCCAAATTATTGTGGGGAATTTGATAATGCTGGATCGATGATGACTGTAGATGAGACGCTGATGTGTTCTTTTCAGGTGTGTTGTCCTTATTACAATCATATAGTTGAAATCAAAATTAATATGATCACTCAGCACCTTAAATCTTGAGATGTGAAGTACAATCGCGGAAAAAAAAGTCACTATATGAATGAGTTATGTATACCTCTGTCTTCACTGCATATCCTGGTAAACTATGAATCTACTTCTGAGTCATTTCGAAATTCATGTAAGTGGGATATTTGGTTTTTCTTACCTTATGTTACCGATAATGTTTCAAAAGATAAATAGTGTTTTAAAAAATAAGAGACCATTTACAGATTTTGAAACCGGCGGACAAAAAGAAATTCCCATATAGTAGTGTCGGATCTGGCCGTCCAGTAACACCGCCGAGGACACCAGCTCCAAACGCTAAGAAGGGCAAGAAATAGTTTGATATACGGAGTGCAGGCATTTTTCTTTGTTCGGATGTCTGTTATAGTGGGCATTGTCAAACAGAGGGAATTCTGTGAAACACAGCAAAGTCATTTATTTACCTCTGGAGGTGGTCAATTATTGATGAAAATTTATTTTTGATACTAATTCTCCGGTTCATGGAAGAATAACTTCCTTTGATATATTCAGACTTTGTAATTTTCTAAAATTAGTGCAGCAGCCTCTTCGTCTCTTCATTTAGCTGCCATCTAATCGAAACTTGCTTGAAACGCATAGTGTCGTTTAAAGCTAAATGATATCAACGTAAATCATGTTTAGGGTATTGGTAGTACCATTGATGATACAAAAGAAAATTTACTTTTATAACGTAAGTCAATCTCTACTCTTATGCGAGTAGATTCCTTAAATTTTTTACTCTTTCAACAATAGGAATGTTACTGTGCGTGCTCGTAGGGGTTCAGTTTCCTGGTCATTGTTTTGCAGGAAGTAGAATTCATTCTATTTGTTCACTCCAGTCCTGATTCTGCGTGACTGTCTTATTGAAATCATAGCTATCATTTTTCACATTGCATGGTTTGATGGTTGTAATATTTTAGGATATTTAATTTGTTAGAATTTTTGTATCTAAGGTTTTGCGCGTATGTCCTTTCAGAAAAAACTTGTATTATAAAGTCTTTTCTCTGATAAAAGGAGCTACAAGTATGCGTGCGGTTAGCATTGTTTTCGTGATGTATTCCCATCTTCACCACTTTCGGTTACTATTTATTGTAATTGAAAGTTATCTTTTATTTCTCCTTGACCCCTTTTGATGTGATATATTTTATATTATATATTTATAATGCACTTTTTACGTGACGCACATTCAGATGCATAAAATTTCGTATTCTTTTCTTTTTTTTGTGCGCGAAATTATGTAGTATACAGATAGTATGTGAGTATTATGTCGTAATGAATAATAAGTTAAAGTAATGAAGAATTTTATTTTTTGATTTGTGTTGTTGTGAAGGAAACGACTAATACTACTGAATTAGGAAAGTATTTGTGGCAACTACCACTGGTTTGATTGGGTAGTAGAAATGCATAGTGGAGATGCTTGATGTAAGCAATTTTATTGGTGAGGGTTTGTAAAATATCACTTGCGACATGTCTAGTATTCAAGTGTTGTTATAAAGGAAAATTGTCCGACTACGCGTTTTTTACTTTTAAGTTTCTTTTTTCTTCATTTAGTGTTCCTGCGAGTACAATTTAGTCGATTTCGTACTATTGAAATAAGTTTAAGAGGACGACCAAAGCGGAAAAAGCTTTATGCACTCAGATGCTTGCTGATTGAAGTAGATATGATGATTAGATTTGACGCTACGATCGTATTAGTATTACAATCATCTCAGAGTAGTATTTACATGGGACGGGGTGTGATGTGTTCTTACTATTGTATATATACAATAGTAAGAATATATATATATATGTATATATACAATAGTAAGACTTATTTAATTAAGAAATGCGCATGATTTTTTGTTCAGCAATGACCCATAATTGGAAATAATAACAGATGCTACATATATATATATATGAGGAATTTTTGTTTTAAAATAGCATCTGTTATTAGTTGGTGAATTCATAATTTGCATTTTCAAATTAAATGTATTCTATCTAAAAAGGAAAAGATGCATATGAACTGAAGGATAAGCGTAACTTGCTCCTGTGAAGTCTGTGTGTAGTTTCACTTATTTAATTGAGAAATGCGCATGATTTTTTGTTCAGCAATGACCCATAATTGGAAATATCCATTTCGAACAGCGCAGAAATCAGTTGCAAATGTTAATTCCTAGTGTTTCCTTGCATAATTATCCGTTCACCATATCTATGGTCGTTTAAAAGCAATCGTTTTCTGATATGTTTTCGGCTTTTTGTAAACGATTTTTTTCTATAAAACAAAATGCATGTAAATATAAAGAGATAAAAGGGAAGTAAAAGTATGTGTATATCATTATTCATCGTTAACAAAATACTGTCAATTGCTTGCTATCATTAATTTGCTCCCTGACCTTATTAGAAGAGCTTGACTTCTTTTGTGAAGAGGGGGGAGGAGGTGGTGGTGGCGGAGGTGGCGGCGGAGGAGGTGGTGGAGGTGGGGGTGGTGCTTGTTCTTGTTTCTTGCCACCACCGAAGTAATCGTCATCAATGTCTATGTCAAGTTCTGCTGGTCTTGTCCCTAATCCACCTGTTGCTTCAACTGGTACAAATGCGCTCTTGTCTGCCATTTTCCTGTATAGTATTTTTTTTCTCACGCATAAAATTGCCCGGAAATTATTTGAAGTCACTAAAGTTAGTCATATCATACTATTAGATTAAACCAACTAAAACGATAGCTCAGTAAGCAAAATAAGGGTTACATTTTCTAACAAGTATTACTCACGTCTAACGTCTGATCAATATTACTCCTTTTTGTAAGGAATATGAAACTGCTATTAAGACACACTCACCGCCCTTCTAAATTATGATTGAAATGCAATAAAATATATGCTTCATGCACTTATAAACATTTCAGTGGTGATACAAGTTGTTATGTTAATTTTACTGTTGTAAGCAATGTTTAGGTAACTCTGCTAGCTAAATCCATCAACAAGTTCTTTAGAGTTTTGTATGTTCCAAGATAGATGTGACATTTCATGTCTGCATGATTTAAGTACAATTAAAACTCTAGATTTACAATTTATGCATGTAAATAAAATAAAGACTATTATAACGCAGAGAACTCGATAAATTGAATTTGTAAATTACTTTCTGGGCCTAACAAGTAGTAGTCAATCAGCAAACGCTTTTAACGTTTCTGTGAGATCCACAGCAAAGAAAGACAATTTCATGCAACAATACATTCCGGAACCAACACTTTCAACCACGATTTTTTCTTATTACTGTCACGAAACGAAGTTTAACACTGAAGACCCAGTGCTCATTTCGTGTAGTTCTTTGACTTTAACACGGCATTTTGACCTTCTTTAAGTTTCCACAAAATATTCTAAAATATTTTCTATGAAGCACAAAGAAATAAACAGCATAATAACACTATAGTTTTAGTCAAATACTAAGAAATGATCTATACAAATATCTCGAATGAACTAACTTGTAAATCATGAGTAGTGCAATAAAATGAGATTCTTTTCAAAGTATTGGAGCCACAAGGAACTGTATCTAGATGAATTTCGCTGACAGTCATCTCTTTTCTTCCTTTATCTGTCTAAAGTGATTTTATTCTCGACTTTTCATCTATTTATGTTTTAGTCGAGCATATTCAGTATCTAATGAAATATAGTGAGTTCGTGGGGTAAATCTTGAAAATAGGATGTTGCTGATTTCTTTTGAATAAAATTACTATTACAAATCATGAGGACTTCTGAAAAAATATTTGTGCTTTCTTTACTTCAATATTTCACGCCAAAAATATAAATCAAAATAATCTGAAGCTTAGCACAGACTTATTATTGAAATAAATACTTCTAAAGTTTTGGAAAGCTTCCATGAAATATCAACTACTCGTGGAGGCTCCCAACCAATTGTTGCCATGCATTTTCGAATCGATGTCTCGTTTGCCTACAAAGTTTCAGTTAATCACTATACCAAAAAATGTGCATTGCTTTATTTCATAAACTGTCTTATTTAAAACATGCTTCAAAAAAGAACTTAAAATTCATACTTAAAAATTTATACTTCAAAAGCATTCACAATGGCTCGTGATAAGTCATTTTTCGGTAACAATTCATCAAGAGCAGTGACTGATAACCCACGTCTGGCGGCTTCCACGAGGACTCCAGCAGCAACATTCCAGTAAACTTGACTGCATATTGACTCTTCTACTGGATATTAAGTTTTTGAAAAAACTTCACCTAGCATTAAATGGCAGCAACAAAATGATTCGAGAACAAAAAACATACATTTCAAAGGGCCGTCATTAACCAATTTTTCACATAGTTTTTTGCACACATTGTCAAAATCTTTTCCTGTGGAGCCATATTTCTTAACAGATTCGAGCAAATGAGCTGGGAAGGTAGTCATGTCAAAGCACTGGAAACACCTACTATACAAAACTTTACATCACTCTTTTATTTACTTCTACGAACTCGAACTCTCAACAAGAACAACTCATACATTTAAGCTCTCTTGTTATTCAAAAACATATCATTAAATTCAAACAATGCAATACACGACAGCGGATACAATACGAAAAGTATAACTTCTGATTGATGTTTGCTCACCAGTACCTCGCCTAGACAGATTTATATATCAAATCTAACGATAATACCAGCAAAAATCGATTAAAGTATAAGTAGATCTCAAAATACAATTGCATAGTTTCATTTATCACGTAATCAATAAATATAACTTTTATTATGGCATATAAAATATCAAGAACATTATAAAAACATAAATATTAAAATGAGCAAATATACAAGAAAAAATAACACTATATTCTATTAATAATTCACTGAAATGAGTGGAAAAATAATAAAAAGATATATCTATCGTTCTTTCTAGCTTACTTACATCCTAACAGATTCTAATTCGAAAATAAAGATGAACGTATACTAGAACTAATCTGAAAAGGAAAACAAGAATATCTTGTCGGTAACCAAATTTGCAAATGTTGGAAGATAATTAGATATCAAGCCACAAATCATGAGGTGCACTATTTTCTATCAACACATATGAAAAGATAATATTCACTGGATTCTATCTAAACAGGTGATACGATCCAACATGTTTGTGAAAATAGTGCAAGAGGTAAAACAGAATTTATGCATATATAACTAGTGATAAATTTATAAAACCCGTTTTACCGAAGTTTTCTGAATTCTTAATGAAGAAAATAGAATCATATTTGATACCGATTAGACGAAGAACTATTCCATCGAGAAATCTTCGAAAAGAACGTTACAGCATACAAATTTTTAAAGTTTCAACAACAGATATTTCACTAAACACAAAACAAAAAACTGCACTAGCTGAAAAAAACAAATAATATCTAAATAATTTACTATAAACGTTCTTTTGTAACCTCTTTTGCTTCTTGTATATTCTCTGAACTAGATTCACCTCGTTTTTCAAATTCTTCGTCGATTCTTTCTTTGGCACGATAAACCTGAAAAAAGTGTACTAAGATAAACACGAAATGATTTAATTTTTCTCCATTGCATAATCAGCGAAAAATATTCTAGTGAGGATCCCGTTTAGGTTAGTAACAGATTTGATTTTTGTGTCCGAGCTTGAAAAATAGGAAAGATTTGTATTCATCAGAAGACTTTATCAACAGATCACGAAACAAATATGAAACCAAAACATGTGCAGAGCCAGTAATGAAATTAACAAAGTTTACTTTGGACTGTAGGTATAAGGAACCTCCTTTAGTCTTATCATTTATAGCAAATAAATGTTTGTATTTTTTTTCAACTTCTGATAGGTTCAATGGATCCTCCACATTCAGGATCTTCATCGCTTCCTAAAGTGATTCATTATATTATATAAGATAAATCATCAAAGGCAAAAGTATCCATTTAATATAGCACCGAAGTTGTACATTTTCTCTTAATGCTTAAATGGTACTATGGAAAAGATAGCGAAAAATCGCATAACATCTAACACGCCTGTAAAGATATTCCAAGTCTTGCGTTTGTTCGACTGGCTTCACGAGCTTCAGCATTGCTTTGACCTGTTTGATGGGCACGATTAGTTGCGGCATGCTGACTAGCTATAACTTAAGGCTGAGTAGTTTTTTAATCCCAAAATTTTAACAAAAACAACCTTCTAAATAAATTATTTGGAAGAAAATGACATAGCTAGTACTAAATAGTAATTTCAAGGTGAATACTCAATCATCCCTAATAATGGTATAAAAAATTATTTAAGGTAAAACAAGAAAAGAAACCACTAATCCGACTAATTTTCGCTTCCTGCGTAAAAATTATATATTTTTTTATTTTGAAAATGATAACCTCGAATTTCCTCTCGTACAGCTCGTGCAAATGCCTTACTTAATGCTTCACTCGTTGCAATCACAATTTTTATCGCACTTTTCCATACCATAGCTTAATGGCAATACAAATGACATTACATTTTATGCTTACTTTTCACCAATATTCTATAACAATTTATAAATAACGAATAAAACAAACAATAACTGAAGCGTATAGCTTAAAAAACACTTTAACAGTAATAATTTTAAATTTACTAAGTGATAAATCAACTACCTTCACTTATCTCATTATTCTTGTAATATTATTTGCTAATAATTTTTTAAATTGCATGCCTGTTTCTTTTTAGATATGATCTCAATAAAATCATTTATTCCTTCTCAATATAGAACTAATAAAACTTACTTGGCCTGGAGTTAGTAAACCACAGAGTTAGTAAACCAGTAACAGAATTGCCACATCGACTTGAAAAATTTTTATTTTTTGAATTTATCACGGTCCGTTAAAGTCTATATTATTTTTTATGAAAATAACTGAGATTGGTTCAGATTTAATTCGTCTTCTACTATCGTTGTATTTCGATTCCACACATAATATCTTGAGATGTTTGATGTTCTGCATTGTGTGAATAGTAGAAGCTGCAGTTCGCTATTTAGATTCAATATTAGCTATTTACACACCTCTGTCTCACTATTCTCTTCACCATTTATAAAACCTCAGAAGAAAATGGATCCAGAAATCGCAAAATTGAGAGAAGAACGGAAAAGGTTCATTTAATTCTTTCTATTCGCGTATATCATTTCATCTCTCTGAGTAAGAAATTAAAGTTTACAATCAATCGATGTCTAATTTTAGTATCATTCTCTATTCTACGTCTAATAAGACATTATGACATAATAGTTATATGCCATTTTCTGTAGACCATGTATTACTATTTATGTACTTGTGTATTTTATGTTATCTTTTAAGGAAAAAGTTGACAAAAGAAATTAAATTATTAGAAAGTTTCGCGAAAAAACCAAAACCTGTGGAAGAGTTAATATTCGATAAAAAATACGACTTAAATATTGCTGAAAGGATACGTCCCTCTGTAAAGGTTGATTTTTTAATAGTTTACTTAATTCCTTAATTATTATTCCTGAAATTCCTTGCGTGTTGTATTTGGAGCATCAATTGAAGTTCCATATGTGATATCATCTTTTCTCGTTTGTAAAATTTAAGATTTTTTTAACTTTCTTGTTCTTGTAAGACTAAAATGTTCTGCTCACTAAATTATATACCTCTGATTAATGTCATTCTTTGTGTAATCTTGCTTTGTTCACAGTTCCAGTTCATTACAAAAATTATTCATTCCTTTGTCTCATTCATAATCAATAAAATGTAGGTCGATTTTGCAGTTTTATTCATCAATATTTTTTTGATTATTTTCTATTTGCTGAAACTTCGGAATTTCTTATTCAAGTTTTGTTGTTGAATTTTTGTCAAAAATTTATCTAATAAGAAAAAACTTTCAGTTAACTGAAGATGAAGAAGATGAGAGGTTTCTTGTAGCAAGAAACTACTGTCGTTATCAAAATATGTTGGCAGTGATGGATATGCGGTGGATTTCAGAAAGTATCAAAAAGCAAGATAGAGCTTTGCAGAAGTTAAAGGTTTATTCACATTTAGTTCTTATCGGTGATGCGACTTGATTTTATTTTTATATTGTTTTGCAAAAATGCTTCAAAAAGCTGCTGTAGACTTTTCGTATAAAATAAAACGCTTTTTAAGGTTTTTTGTTTATCTTGAAAAATTATATTTGCTTAGTATATTAATAGAAGTTTTCTATGTCAGAAGATGTTATTATACCAAAATCATAATTTCTTGAGTTTTTTGGAAGCTATCATTGTTGTTTTACTAATCTTAATGATTAAATATACTTTAGCATGATTTTAGTAATTATTTAAATTAATAGTTGCTAAAATGAAAAGTTAATAATGGAGTAAGTTGGACTTCAGCATAGTTAAGAAGAAAAAAAAAAGAGGTTTCAGAAGTTGTCTCCTCAATTGCATGAATCTGCAATAAAACCCGATGAATGCTTTTTAAAAAATTTTTCATGCCAAGGACCCACATTAACACCTCCAATAAAACGATACCAACCTCCTGATGGCCATTATATCGATGTTACTAAAAAATGGCTCTGTTAAGGGATTCGCAAATATATATTCATTTTTTGATCTTTTTAGTACTGTGTTTTGCTTTTTGAGTGTTTATTAATGTATAAAATATGAAGTGATAATTGAGTAGTGATGTTGGGTTTTTAATTACTCAATGTTCAGTGTCATACATTAGAGAGCTTCTCTAATCTTTGACAAAAAAAGTGTAATAAGCTTGTTGTTTGTCTGTCTTCGTCATTTTTTGTTCTTTCATGCTCTCTTATTAAGCTAACTCATTTGAGTGTTTATAGTCACCAGTGCTGTCTTTTCAAATTTAACTTGTACAAGTTAAATTTTATTACTGAATGCTTGGTGTGAGTAATAGTGATTGTATCAACTTGAGTAGTCTTCCATTTTCTTAATGCTGTTGAAGTAGTCTAGTTTCAGCAAAAATTTACTTGTCATTTTTTGTGTTATGATTCACGTGCTGTAATAAAGTATGCACTTGGTCAATTCAAACTGAAGTATTATCTACATATGCAAAGGAACTGCCTAATTAACCAGCAAATTTGCATTCTTAATCAAAAAATTAGAATATGAAATAGTATAAAGGCAGAGAAGGTTGCATTATTAGTCACTTCTACAGTTTTCGATGTAATGGACAGTCAACTCAAGGGAATAGGTCACTCCCATGTGGTGCAGTCGTCGATGATTATTGCCGGCAAAGATAAGATAGGGACTGGGAATTTCGCTGATGTGTTCAAAGGTCTTTTTATTATGACTATGATCTGCACTTACTACTTGATTCGATGAATATAAAGATTGTACGAAGTCAGTTATTAGTTCCACAACTTTTTTGCTTAAATAAAATTTGGCGGTATTACATCAAAGTTCTCAAAACTATATTTTATAAAACTGAGAGTTGTTAATCAGGAATATACCGCAGAAATGACGGAGAGAAAGTGGTGGCATTGAAAATTGCTCGGATTGGTGGCGGCAATTTAGTATGCTTTAATGTTAACTTTTGTATTTATTTATGCAAACAAAAAGCTTTATCCAAAGCAGTAAGAATCTGATTATCCCATGTTATCATCTCCTATAATAGACAGCGATAGTATGCTTCTCAGAAATAAGCTTATTCTCTGGCAATACAAGTAAAATAGAGTAGAAACAAAGTAGACACAGAGCTAAGATTGTTACATTAGTTGAATTGCTAGTTTTGATTAAGTTTTAGAGTTAGTTGATTTACTAATGCATACAAAGTTAAAGGAAAACAACAGCTTTTATTAATAAGTAGTCCAGAGAGTAATTATTTTCAGTAAAATATTGGTAATATTTTTTTCAGAGTGCCGAAATGCATTGTTTAGCAGAGCTCAAAAATGAAGCAATGATCATGTCTTTGTATCATCATCGACGCATCATTGAATTCTACGGCATCTCTGCAGACAAAGTTTACTATTACTATTTACTTTCTGATATTCTCTTTGAGAGTTAGTACTGCTAATACTGATTAAGTTGTATATACTTGTACTTTAAAGATCCCAATGATTGTAATGGAATATTGTCCCGGTGGTTCATTGGATCTACACTTGCAAAAATTTAAGGAAGAAATATCAACCGCAGGTATGTAGTAAAGCAAATAATGAAAACTAATTAGTTTTAATAAGGAAAAAGTCTTTATAAAACTAAATTTATGTATTTATATGCAAACACGTATGTACTTAAATTTTAACAGCAAAATTCAAGTAGAGCCAACAAACCTTGCTGCCAAAGATTCTCCAAAACACCAACTACGCGTGACCGACTATATCCACAAGTACTAACCAATGCAAATCTTGTGAGTGACTAGTTCAAAAAAGATATTTCATATCTGCTTAAATTGTCGCAAGTCAGTTTTTTAGAAAGAATCGCATATATATTCGAAATATCGGATGGCATGCGTTATTTGGAGCGAAAGAAATGCATACATCGTGATTTGGCGACAAGAAATATCTTAATATCAAGTACGGGGTCTTTAAAAATCAGTGATTTCGGTTTAAGTATCGGTCAAGGCATCCAGACACAGAAACAATCAACTCATATTCATGTAAAATATTTTTTGCAACATACGCATTTACATATTACTTATTAATTTATTATACCTACTACTAATGATGATGCTACACTATTTAATAAATGCACGTTCTATCCAAACATTTCCAAAATTTCCCTGAAATTTTGCTTCAAGTCATATATATATCATTTGATAGATTCCTGTTCGTTGGATGGCTCCCGAAACATTGACCCGTTCACCGGTGTACTCACCGAAATCCGATGTCTGGTCATTTGGTATTGTCATGTACGAAGTAAGTAAAGAAAGAGAAAAATATATGGCAGAATTTTATGTACCAAAAATGTTTTAAAACAAAAATCTTTTGTAGCAGTTCTTGCTGAAGAACATAGAATTTAAAAAAAATCAATTTTTGTGTTTAGATATTTAACTGCGGTCTAAAACCATGGCCTGAAAAACCGGCTAAGTGGATAGCAACTAAAATTCGGAAAGGTGTTGCTCCTGAAATGCCGAGACGAACGCCACGTCTCTTACGAGAAATAGCCAGTGCTTGTTTCCATCTAAAACCCGAAAATAGGCCTACTTTCCGTCAGGTTGCTATTTTATTTGAAAATACAAATATTTGCAGGTTGTAAGATTACACGTAAAAACTCTCTGAAACGTGGGCACGTAATTCTTATTAGAATATTAGATATTTTAAGACCAGAATGTTTCGATTTATAAGTATGAAATAGGAATGGCAGACTTACGTTTTGTCTTCTGCAAAATTACTAAACACTCATCATATATTTTCATTAGCTTTTATTATTTGTTTTAAAATATAGTACTATTGCAGTATTTGCTGTGTTTAACAAAAAAACTTAAAAAGCATATCCTGGAAGCTCAACACAATTGTCTTGAAAAGAAATTAATACAAAATATTACAGATAAATTGTCGAGTTTTGCTAGTGCAAGGCATTCGTTTTCCACCACCTCCTGCAGACAAATCATCGATGCTACTTGTGAACAATGTTAAGGTAATCATATTTTTTATATGGTGGTTTATTAATTAGCAGTTATAATCTAAAAAATAGTCAAACGCAATAGAGGTTACTGACGTAACTTTGAAATGAATCTGTAAACACTTTATTCAGAAGAACTATAATTTATATAAAGTATCTACAGTTTTTTTTCAAGTTTCAAAATTATGTTGCAGTTTTGAAACCTAGTAAACTAGCTAATTTTGTAATTGTTTCTAAAGAACTGTAATTTCTGCAAAAATTCCAACTGTATTTTAATTTTTATGAATCAAAATCAGAATGCCAATAAAATCAAAGGAGAAACTGCTGTAAAATTTAAATTAGTTTTAGAATCAAAATAAGAGTTTAGTTAAATAAATGGTATATAAATCGTTAGACTGAAATTAAGAAATTCTTGACCTTAATTTACTCAGAACTGTATCAAATTGTACATGGTTCCTGGGTATTACAATAATCACTCAATAACGATTACCGAACATTTATTACCAACGTGTAGACCAATACTGAAATTATAAAGGAATAGAGCTTTGTTGATTTAATAATGATAGCAAAAAATTGCAGCCAAAGACTATGGAAATAGAAAATGACCCAGAAGCGCTTTCAATTGAAATAGATAACTTAATAAAAGACAAACAACACATTACAAGCGATGAGGAAGCCGTACGTTTATTCTGATAACTATCATTGACATATGTTTTTATTTCACGCTTATTACTTGCATAATAAAATCTATTTACTTTATTTTTAGGACACTAAAAAGACAGTACAATCTGCAGCAACAAACAGACTAAGCAAAACCGTACCAGAAAGGTGCATTTGGCTTTCTCGTTTTTCTGACCGAATAGAAACTATCTTTGATTTTATGAGCGATTTTTTTTTAACTTTCCTCTTATGACATTTAGTATGAGAGTAACAAAACCCTTACGCCAAATCAAACCAAACAATTAGAAATTGTTAACAAAAATGACTTCATAGCTCAATTTTTCAGTAGCAACCAGGAAAAATTAAGAACGAAAGGTATGTGACTTTTCACAAGCTTTTTTTATTCTACCACTTGCAATTGTTTTCAAGGAATAGATTAACGGTTTCTAGAAAAACGATTTCTAGAATTAACGAATCTCGAAAAAGTTATTTCCTTTTATTTTTCTATATTTTCATTAATTTTCCTGTATCAAAAAGTAACAGAAGTGTTTTCGCTAAGAACTTCTTTATTTAGCTGAATTGAAATCAAACTGTACAGAATCGTCCAATGAAAACGAGAAGCATGCAGCCATCTTACACGATACAAATTATTCACAATAAAAGAAATAATAAAAATACGCGTTTCTTGCAATAAAATTGACAAAATGTCAAAAATTTCTGAATTAATAACAGAAGCGTAAATGACAAAAAAATATTTACACAAACGGCACATTAGATATAATACTTTTTTTTCCTAGTAAAGGATCTAAACTGTCTGACTTATTTTAAGAAGGAAGAAAAAATTATTTTCAGGAGAATTCGGAAATACAAAAAATGAGCATATAAATAGCTAATAATATCAATTTCTAACAAAGACTACAGTAGATCACATAATCCGTTATAATTGAAAATAAATTTTCTGAATTTTACACACAATCTTTCCACGTTTTTGGAGTTCAGCTAGCCACGATGATATACAAAATCCTTACAAAATTTTTGGCAAAGGAATAAAACATTTTTCATCAGTAATTTCATAAGTTTTTTCATGATAACTTTTTCATTGCTAATAAAAACACTTCTGAACTATTATCACGACTAGCTTTTGGCTTAACTGTATGCACTTCTTTAAAATAACGTTTAAGATACGCAGTAAATTCTTCTCTTCTTGGTCCATTCCATATTTTGCAAAGAAATGCCCCATTCCTAACCAAAGGAATCACTGGCTTTTCCACGACGAGTTCCAATACTGTTCCGCAAAGGGACAAGATTCGTTCATGATCAGTACGTTTATCACCTAAAAAAGCTTTCAAATCGAATTTGATCAGTGGCAATTAACATGAAAGGATCCATCACAATAAAGGAATCAAAAATCAGAGCGGTTCAGAAAGTGTCAGTCACACTAAAACTCATTATCGAATCACATGTACTCAACATCTCCAGTGACACATAAATGCCTCTCGTTGTAAAATGCAACTTTTATTCCCATTAAAAAGCAACAATTCTGAAAGAAATGAAAAATCAGAACGATTAGAGAAGATGTCAAATTCATTTCTCTCAGGACTTCTAAATTAATGGAAAATACCAGTAGGGTTTGGAGCCATATCACTAATTACAACATCAACAAGTCTTCCATTCAGAAGTTCCTTTATGCGTTGATGAGTCTTCGGAGCGGTAATGTCTGAGAGGTCCAAAAAATTCACACCCGAAAGAGGTGCTACTGGCTAAAAAAGTTTTTTAGTCTCAAAACCTATGAAATCGACTGAAAGGTACAAAAAGCATCATGAATCATCATTTTTTAAAAGTATTACAAAGTTCAATAATAGTAATAATTTCAAAAAAATGAAACCTGCACGTCTATTCCTAGAATAAAAGCATCACTGTGCACACTCGGCTGGACGATATCAGCAGCTACCTGACACCATGATCCAGGCGCTGCTCCAACATCCACAACTACCATCCCTAAACAGTCTATAGTGTTAGTCGAACCAAAAATATAATTTTTCTTTTTTCGAAAGAAATAAGTTAATTCTCTGGCAATGCAAATAACAACGAAAAAACAAAGTGGACATCGAACTCAGATTGTTACATTATATGAATTTCTAACAGAAACATTCACACATGACTTTCCTTTGCAAATAAATATTTATATCTTTTCCCACCAAAACTAGTTTTCCGCTCATAATTCAAATTCAAATATTAAACTCACCAGACTTGATAATTTTGTATCTTTGGTTAATCTCCAACAATTTATAAGCACTTCTGGCTCTGTATGAATGTTCACGAGCTTTTCTAGAAAACTCATCAGACCACTGCCTTTGCAAATATTTCAGTGTTGCACTTGCTTTTTTTCCTCCTGAGTAACACCGTACTGATATAATTGCTATGGTTTTGCAAATTATTCTCAGAACCATCGCTACCCTGTAATCATTCCAGCACATTACTGTGAATGAGCTACTTACCATTAATCCTTGAAAATATCAAATCTACATCAGTCATCTCATGACTTGTAAATATCTTTAGCAAAATCAAATCATGATCCGATCATATTAAGTTAGCCGAAATTTATGAAGTGTGACACAACTTTTTAAAGCACATGCATAGATCGTGACATGACGATATTAAAGATTTTTTTAATGAATACACTTATACATCTGACTTCATCTTCATGTGTTGCATTAATACACATAAAGAGAAAATAAGTTTTCTACTAGTAGAGTTTTGAACAAACTAGTTCATTTTTTCTAATCTATCCCTACAAGCAACAAATACATCAAATATCACAAAAGTCACATAACATTTTTGTCCTGACTGAACTTCTAAACTCTAATATCTATATTATTTTGTTAAACTACAGATATGAGCCTTTTTTTACTCTAATTTTCTGCACCCGAATTAAACGACTTCACATTTTACCTTAGCTATATAAAGTGAAGCACTTCAATCACTCATATTTCACTACAAATACTATTTTTATAACAGAATCACTAGCATTTACTTGCACTAACAAGCATTTCAGGCCCCAAATAAATGATGACAGAAATATGAGAAATACAAACAATGCTAACATGGTACAAATTGAGAATGCTACAAATCTTTTGGTGTTAGGCACTCATTTACAGCTTTTAATAAGTCAGAATTCTCAAGCGCAGCTGCCACTCGTTCTTTGTCTGCTAGCTGCTTGTTTATTGCACTTTCAGAGACATGACTCCCTACTGATATTTGTACTACCGTCTGCAAAAAACAATAAAATACAGTGAAATTTGTATCAAAAAATACCAGTAAACCAAAACTTGTCATGATAGTTGCTTGATGTATCTTTCTACGTAGAGTTCTACACTGCTTAAAACATCTTCGAGTATGAAGATGACAGTAGTTAAATTTATGACCCAAAATCATTACGAAAACAACACTCGACTACTTTAAATAAATATAACAAAAAGTTCTACGTAAATGATAAATATAGGTCAGAAATGTCCTAACTTTCACACTTGGATGCAGAGATCGTAATAATTTGATTCGTATTGCTAAACCAATTAACATAGCCATAGAGCAATGCGGTATTGTGGGAACGTACGTAACCTAAAAAAATTTATATGTATTGAGAACTTATGACATTTTGACAGTAAACTAAAGTAAATCAACACTTACAGTGACAACTGTTTCTTCATCATTTTGTTCAACTGTAATGAGTTCTTCCTGTACAACATTTAATTGTTCGAGAGTAAGAGGATGCTCGGGATCATTTATATCCCTGTAATATAATGTATCACAGTTACTTGATTTCTGAAATTAAAAAAAAGTAATCTAAAACTTGTCCTGAGCAAATTACTTTAGCATTAAGCAATAATTATAAGAAATCCTCGTTTACGAAATTTAAAATATATGAAAACTGACTTTAACAAATATCATATGATAAAATATGAAACTTTGAGAGAACTAAATTCGCTGTTCCGTAAATACATAATTTGCATTTGATTCTTTTTTGATCAGCAAAAAAATAACAGTTTTTAGATATTTTATTTTAAATGGTCTACAACTTGAAAAACATTGTTTTACAACGTCTTATTTTTGCAAAGAACTGAACTCAAATTAGATATACATAAAAATGTTTAATATGTTCCTAACTTTATGTAGTCAAAAATTTCTCCGGCATCGATTGCTTCTATCACGTTAGGATCAAAAATGGAGTCTGATAATTTCCTATCGCGAGGTTTCCGAGCATATACTGTTGGTGTAGCATTTTCCAGCTTACCGTTTATCATTCAAATTCGTTGTGCTGGTTGCTTCCCTTAATTATACAGATTTCTAAATAAAATATGTTGCTGTATAAGAAAGATCACAAACTACTACTTTATGTTTTAGGCGGAAGAAATTATTAATAATTCTCCCCGAAATTTGAGATTTGTAACATTGTCCTAAAAATGATTTTTGAACTTAAAGCTAACAAATAAGAAGTACTTGAAGTAAATTAGTTCTGCTGAAAAAATTATGGATGAAATAACTGATTAATATTTAGCTTACGTGATTAGTTTATAATATCAATAAACCGATATATGTCATACAATAAGCAATGCTTAACTCATTTTAAATTCAGCTTAACTTACTGACGCACTTATCTTTCTCGTCACAAAATTAAAAACATTTAAATTTACAAAAATTAAGCTAACAACAGCAGTGAGACCCGATGTCACTCAGGTAGTAGAACAGGCGAGATTAAATACCTCAGACCTTCCATTTTTCATATCTTTTATATCAATATGAAAATTACTATCTCACTGCAAACTTTACTACTTCAAAGTCACATCCTACATGTAATTTTGTTTGGTCATTCGAGAATAATATCTTGAGGAGTCAAGTAGATATAGAATTATTCGGTCACATTTGTTATATTTGTTCATTTTAGTGTGTTCGAAGTTTTAAAAAGCAAGAAAATCTTTACTCAAATGAAAAAGTGCAAATCATAACTTAATTTTCTTGCAAATCAGCATTAATTACTTACGCCCCTTCATTTCATCTTAATTTGAATTCTCCTCATGCATGTATTGGATCACATTTTCAAATCACCACTCCAAATGATTCATCGTGGACAGTACTGAAGTATACTCTATATCAGCAGATATAAAATTGACTCGCGAAGAATTAAGATAGAAGATATATCCTTCGAGAGTAGTTAACATTGTCCAGAAAATTGCAGAAACCTCAACCGACTCATCTCTCAACATGTAGCGAGATTCAACTCCAGCCGAATCACAAAACTTCATAAAGCTTTTGCCGATCCTTTCAAATCCCATAAAAAATGTTATACAGTGTACCAGTCCGATGATCCCTTCTAAAATTTCCAACTTTTGCTTTCATTAGTTCAACATTTTGGAAACATATCACGCAAGTCAGCACTATTCTCCACTACAGCTAACCAATACATCACTTTATTTTTTCCAATATGCTAATTAATGCTAATAAGTTTTAAAAATGCTATCTAGTATGTTTGGTTACGTTTGCAAGCATATTCAGAAACTGATATTTAGTTTCTAAGTTCCTTCTTTTATGATTCAGTAACGAATTCTTCATAAGGTAAATCAAAATAAACATGCAGAAATATAAAAGAGCTGATTCACAATGCAAAAACAATGCTACGCAGTGAGAATTTGAATTTTGTTGGAGAAAAACACTCGATAATTGGTGTACATGCAAATGTATTGGAATAACAAAAGAGGCAATGATTTGGTCGCATGAGATATGAAAAACAATGAATCAATGAGATATTTGTAACAACATGTGCTGAAGTAAATAAAATAAATCAACCAAAGAGAATAATATTAAAGCTTCAAGACTGAGATATCATTTCAACAATGCATGAAAAACTGTGCAATTTGAAAAATATATTATCAAACATGACAATTATGATATGGCTCATAAAAACAATACACATAATAACACTCACTTTAAGTCAAAACTGCACTATTTTTTCATCCTCACAAACAATTTTGGCTGTTTTTCTACGCAAAACTATACCCTAATTTCATTTTTTATCGAAATCATCACAATTTCAGAATCCAAAAACAACTGGAAAAATTGAAGAGAAAATTTCTCAGAATACTAAAGACCCTGAAAAAAGTTTTGAGATATTTCGAACTATCATTTTATCTATGTTAACGTTGCTATCCCTGATTTGGTTAATTTAATTCTTGACAACAATCTGTACAAGTCGGAATTTGTTGTTTTTACAATAAAAGTACCACAGAGCACCACTTACTTTTTACTAAAAAAGTGCCTTGTATTTTGTTATTATTAAAGGTACCTACTAACTATCAGATTATAGTGCTGTCATAAGCTGATAAAGGTAACAAGTGAGAAATATTAAAGGTAGATGATAAACACACAAAATGGCTTTAACACGACAGATTTAAGGAATGTGAAACAGATTTAAGAAAAAATAAATTAAATAATGAGATCATTCATATCTCCCTCATATTGATGTGAGATAGTATCCATTATTAATTTCAAAACTACCAACAGCTTTAACATGTTAGTGAACGGACATAAAGACTGGAAAGTATACATTTAGGTAAAAATTCCGAAAGCTGAGATAAAATTAGAGACATACACATTTCTTCATATTCCGAGTAGTCATACATATAAAATAAAGGTAAACTTTCAGAAATAAATGTCATTAAAACAGTCATACTTCCAACCTGAATGAGTCATTAAATAAAGAATGCTGACTCTGACCATGAGGATGACTATGCCCAATTTTCTCGCTCATTTCAAGGTCAGATGCAGTTCGAGATTCTTGAAATAAATTCCCCTGCTCATTTAGCAATGGTCTACTGGGGAAGCATGCTGTAGTATTGACAGAGATGTGAGAGGCGCTTTCAATTCTCCCATTATCAACATTTCGATCCTTTGTTTGATGGGAACGCGAGAGATTCATATCACCATCGCTGGGTATGTAAGCGCTGAATCACAGAATTACGCATATGTATGTGAAGTGAAGTTTTGATCTTGAAGACAAAAAATAATACGAAACATACTTGACATCTTGAGACTCACATCCTCTACTAGATTCTGTATTAGAACCCAAATCACCATGTTCCACATGATCTGCCTCTACTGCACTTAACTCAGCATCACTGAAACAATTTATCTGTTTAAATATTGAAATTAAATGAATCTGAAGATATCGTATAAAATTTTAAATAAGACTTTCGAAAAACAAAGAAACCTGATAACTTCATCGTTGTACTGCAGCTGCTTGAGCAACATGCCAATATTATTTAATTTAAGTGGAGTTGGAGTCATTCTATTATTAACTGAATTCTGAGATGAGGTAGGGCTCAATTCAACAGTGACACCTGACAGAGTTTCAACATACCTTGTGCCATAATGACTCATTCCTTTAAAAGTCAGAAAATATACTAACTAAATTTTCAATGTTCAAGATTACATGAATATGAAATATAAAAGAACTGTGAAATATTTTGAAATTTGAAAACTTAGCTATTCTGAAAACTGCAGAAGTTGTATGTAAAATTAATTAAATAAATGTACATTAATCATTATTTAATTTTCAATTTAAAAAAATTCAAGTACTAAACCAATTTTCAAATGCTAACCAATTTCGGAATCAGTGGCATATTCACTTCGATTTCGTTCACAAGTATTTGGAAGCGCAACAGATGAACAACGTAATACTGATGGTGAACCTATTAAATCTGCAGAGTTCGTGTCATGATATAAAAATCCATCACAGTAATACCTATGATTTGTAGGTGCATCACGTTTCAATATGGTAGTTGCAGTACCTGATAAAATAATAATCACTTTTTTTCAAATTTTACGAGTAATATAAATTTGAAGACTTAGTAATGTGTTTTCAGCTTTATAATAATAATTACCATTTAACATAGTTGTGACTATTTCTTGTCTTGGATCGTATTCCACATAATTACCATAATTTCTGCCTAAGGATACCGATCCACCATTCTCTAGAATTGTACCTCCTGATTTTACAGAAGCACTGTCTCGTTCATCACTGGCTTCATTGATTCGTTGTAGTGCATCATACACATGTTTGTCTGCTTTTCTTTTCCTTTTTTCCTCACTAAAAAAATAAAAAGTCTAACTCAAACAAGTTCACAAAAAAACTTTCAAGAATTTTATTTCTAATGTTAAATAAGCTTACCGATAGCTCGGCATATTACCAAATTTTATAGCGCGTTGGGTATTTTCAGGTATGCTTTCATTTAACTTCTCATCAGCTGGACAAGAAAAATCAACTTTGCTTTGTCTTCTGTAAGCAAAATAATTTAAAAAAACATTATTCATAACTATATCGTGAAAATATTTTTTTGGAAGCAAACTTTACCGATAGCAGAACAGTAGACATATGAGGAATAATAGAAGGAACACGCCCACAACAAGAAGAATAATAAGTAGAGTTATTGTATTCAGTTTATAGTCTCCTGAAAAACAGAAGTAAGCACAAAGGTTCTAATAGATTTAAGATCTGTCTCTGAAAACAATAGCAAGACCCTAAATGTGAAATATGAACTAAATTAAATAACTAATTAGTTCATTTACTAAGTGTAGGACAGAAAAATTTCACTTATTCAAAATCATATTTTCAACGTTAAACTCTATGAGATTACAGCAATTACACAAAAAAACAAAAATATGTACATAAATATGAAGTAACCACAGATTTCAGAAGTTAAGATTTCTAGAAGCCATAAAAATGCTTAATCCAACTCACCAGTAAATGTTGGAATAAACATCTCACTGAAATGAGAAATATCTGATGATACAGTAGTAGTTGTCGAATGAGTGATATTTGATTTCCTATCACAAGCAACACCTATCCAGCCGCTATAACATACACATCGTTGGGTAGTTGTGCAATCCTGAGATTATCAAATTTATTTATTTTTTCTTGAAACTAACAAAAAACGTACCGCAATAAATTATTAAAAAAATCAGAATTACAGTTTCTAATTATTTTCTAGTCTAAGAAATCACCCCATGTCCTGAGCATTGGTATGCAAGATTATTGCTTGGACAATGAACTGGTGGAGAAACGTGAACTAGTGGCAAGCAAATTCCTTGGACACAAACTTTTCCTGAACCACAGCTATTCCCATCCATAACCATACCAACTTCCAAACTTGTTACAGTTCTAAAAAATATTGACCTGTCATAAAAAAGCTCTTCAACATTTTTTAACTGATAACTAAAAAATTTTTTAGTCCACAGAACAACATATGAAACAATAAACAAATTAAATCTTAGTTTCATATTCCGAAGTGGAAATAGAAGGATAAAAGTCTTTTTGTTATATTTATTTCCAAACTTGTAGCAAAAATTAATCCTTTCAAATGTAACTAAGACTGTTATTTGAAACAATAAAAAACATAAATCGAGCAAAAGATTAGTTTTGCATATGTCATTAAGAGATGGTAAGCGTTCACATATTTTTCTACTTCTGAGCACTAGCTTAATTACTTAAACAGATGGAATAAACTCATTGCAAAATGCAAAAAACGACAACAGAAATTTGAGACCAACAATTTTAATAAAAGTAACTTATTGCTGATTTGTTAAAATTTCAAGCTTACGCATACTTGCATTGAACTTGCTTAGTTTCGTGCAAAAATTGTAGATTGAATGAATTTAGCTTGGTGTCTAACGGTATTTGAAAACCTCCTCGGCAGTGTAACGTTCCACAGTGGACATTTTCCACTTCACACTTTTGATACATTCCATCTCGATCCATGCCACAATTTCCATACTCTACACCAAGTCCATTCCTTTCATAACAATGTTCATCAGCCGTCGTTGATTCTAAGATGCTGCTATTTTTTCAAACTATGCAATCTATTACATTCAAGCAATTTTCATAACAATTTTTAAGTTCAATAAAGAGTTGTATAGGTAAAATGAGTATGTCTAAGTGACCGAATATTTTGCTCTAGTTCTCGAGCTGCAAGAAACAACTACCTGAACCCCAAAGATCGCGACACTGTTGCTCAACATCTGAACAATTTCCTTTCCAACACTGTCCACTAATGCCACATAAAGTACCATCGACCAGATATCCATCTTGGGGACAATCTCCATGATCTCCTGTACATATTTCTGCAACATCGCAAGTGGATCTCGGTGACCGGCATATATGTCCTGCTGGGCGAAGCTACAAATAAATATACACAACAAATTGGAAAATACATTGTGTAGTTTTTAAAATTTGTTCAAATTTGGCACTAGTTTAGGATTAGTTCAATTCAACACATTTACATACGCAACATGATGGCAAACTGACAACTGCTCAATGAAATAAAATTTGATAATTTATCTGCTAATTATAATACTATCTGCTTGAAGTTACAAGTATAAGAGATAAATATTTCAAAAGTAAGTAGAACTCACCTGGCAACGATGACAGCATGTCTGATGAGAAGCACACTGTGCATGAGCTCGAAGAGTGCAAGTAAGTGGATCACAACACGGATCGAGACATTGTTCTCGAGGTCCACAATCGCATTCCTCTTCTCCATCGAGAATACCATTACCACATTGTTGCAAAGTTGATGCCTGTACAAACGTATTTATCCATTACTTTTTGTTAACCATATAGATATAACAAAAAAACTCATCTCCAGCAAAATAAGATAAAACAAAAATAACTTACAATATATAAGCAAATCCAATATTCAAGCAAATAAAAGGAAAAAAATTAGTTATATTTTAAACTTTATCTTGTCTACTATCTCTTGTAATTAAAAAATAATAATAATAATAATAATAACAAATCCTTCACTTCATCAATTTTGCAACATTTGCTCTTTCACTATTTACATTAACTCATAATAATCAAAATAAAACTTAACTAATGAAATAAAATAGCATTTTTATCATTTGAATATCGAGCAAAAAAATTAATCTAATACCGATAATTAGTGAAACTATTACCAATTATTATTATTTTTGCAATAGATTTTTAATAAAGAGATAATCAAAATTTGACCTTTGCAGAAATAAATAATATAATTGTAAAATAAATACATGCCTGTAAAGGTTTGTTCAACAAACACTGCAAATATCCTGATTGCAATACGCTATGCATTCTTGCTATGCTGCATTTTGAGAACTGCCACAAAAATGGTGATCCATTTGTACTGAAAAAATTTTTTTTAAACTCTTTACAGTCCAATCAAAATAATATTGATAATGAAGAACTGTTCGTCTTGTCTTTTGTCTTCCTTGTAATACATTTCATATCAAATCAAACTGATCTTTCATTAAAATCCACAGCAAAAATAATAATCAGTAATAATATATTGATATTCAATATATTCATTTATGTTTCTACATTCATTTTCATTGTCACTTGTCAATGTGATGATAAATTCTAAATATCTATCTAAGTGGTCTTTGATTCATCACTTAATAACGTTTTTAAATTCAAACTATGCCATTATTTTTTAAAGGTTTCTGTTATCAGAAATAGATCTATTGCGCAGTTACTTCATCATTAAAATCTGGCATATTTATTAAAAAGTAGATTAAAAATGTTTCTTTTTCAAAGCAACAAGTTTTTACCACTCAATGATTCTTAAAAGGCTGTCAAGCAAGTGCGATAATATGTGCTGTCATAATTAACCATTCTACTACTTTTCTAAGCCACACAAAAGCAGCAATGAGCATTTCCTTATCTGATTAAGCAAATCTCTAAGGAATCAAAAATAGCACATATCCTACTCAAAACGTAAATTTTCCCTACGGGAATAGCCAGCATATTTATATTCCCATCAAAAATTATGTGCACATACAGATTTATAGTCGTTTTGCTAAATAACCCAATTTCTTCTCTTATTCTGAGAGAATAAATTTTATGCATGACTCATAATGATGCAGTACATCAGCTAAGATTGTTATCAATTAAACTAGAGCACTTTATCCTTGGAGTTGTCTTCATTATTCAAACATGTCGTCTTAGTCAGATGTAAAAGATGCAAATTATGTCATCAGTTTATATAACAAACAATAATATCGTTCTTAGAAATCGAGTGCACTTCAAGTACTTAATCAATCTTATTGAAGCTTAAAGCTTACCCTGCTTGTTTCTGCATAACACACCTGCTCATAGAATCACATGTACAATCCATAGAATCATCATCTATTCCCAAAACATGAGCCAAACTATGAGCAATCAACTGACCCGTACTATGCGCTGTATAAGTATCCACTGCCTTGCAAATTAATTTTCAATCACTTTTACTCATAATAAATATAAGTATACTGAATAGATAGATTACATCAATGATTAAATTATTAACACATTTTATGATTTTTTTTTCAAAAAAATTTACCATAATCAGACCAGTAGCACGTGATGAGCAAATACTTCCAGAAGTACTTGCTACCATTTCATTATTGACAAATTTTGTTGATGTAAAAATCAGCGAAGAATCTTTTGCTAAAATATGATATGTATGATGAATGTAATAAAATAAGTCATAATTTTTAACACTTTTATAAATAAACTAAATAATCTCAAAAACTGAACTTAATTAATTTTATTCTTTAAAATTACTTTCATTTATAGTTCAATAGCTGATTACAAATACGAAATTTTGC